ATTTGAAGCAATGGAGGTGTTAAAATGCACGAGCAAGTTTCTGTCATCAGCTAGGCTCACCCAAATGAATCTCTCAGCCTATAAGTGGAGAACACCTGGTTCTGAGGGCCTGGGAATGAGGACAGGTGACCTTCGAAGGCACGGGAAGGGAAGCAGGGTCCGGGGTAGGCTATTCCCAGGCCAGGGGAACAGTGCAGCTGGGAGTCCTTACAGGGCCGGGGAGAGTGCAGGCAAGACACAAGTGCTGAAAGTAAACTTTCCCCAGACCACAGTTTGGGGAGTCACCAGCTGCTGTCTCCCCTGCGCGCTGCTGGCATGCAGAATACGCCTGCCAGATGCTTAACAAGGCTAGAATGGGTCATTTCAGTCTACATGCATTTCCCTCTAAGCTCCTACTTGATCGAACTTCTCATCCCCAATCCCAATGCTCAGCATTTGGAAAAGAAATCAGGAGAGAACTAGACGTAAGTGCAGCCCTCAAGAGGGATCCATGTATTCACTTGGTTTGCAGGCTCAGCCAACAGAGGGCATGGCGGCTCTTGGACCGCATCTCCCAAAGGCCAGAAGCAAAGCTCTGCTGGTAGTTTCACCCTTCCAAGGTCTCCTTTATTTGCTCCAGGTCAGAGTCACCCTAATTCAGTCCCTTAACTGCCAATATTAGGATTCGAGTGATTCCAGAGAATCACACCTACCCTATTACTTCCTTCAGCTTTGTATACCCCTGTACCTGAATTACTATTACTATTTCATTTCAATCACCTTTAAATTGTTTTTCCAATGCAAACTTCTATCATTATCATAAATGGAAAAAGGATCACCTCTCAGAGATAGAAGGTAACCACAGAAGTAAAATTAATCCAACAAAACAATGTGAATCAGAGAGAGTGGCAGCTGCCAGGCAAAGTCCCCAATCTAAAGCTTGTTCTTTCTTGTCAAAGAGAGGCAGTAGCAAGTTTAGGGAGTTGTTAATGATAAAGCAGCAAACGGAGACTTTTCTTTAGACATCAGCAAGAAGGCTGAAAGAGAAGTGAAAAGGGTGTAACTCTGCATCGAGAGGCAGCATTCTTGAAGACGTGATGTCCCTTAGCCCCCTAGGCCATCTTTGTACGGTGCGTGTCACTTGGTGGCAAGACTGCCGTAGGTTACAGTGCATTTCAGGAAGAAATAATTGACTATTGAAAGGATTATTGATTAACTGTGATTTATAAAGTTCCATTCAGGATCATTATGAAGTGTGGACAATAGATACACACTCATCATCCGTCATAGATCCTAAAAATACTATTTCCCAAACTGAAAATTGCCTTATTGAACAGCTTGTTCATTGATTAAATATAGTCAACATTTACTATGCATTTTAGTTTAAATTATTCATCTGATCTGTAATTGAGATTCTGTTTCTACATCTTTTCCTTGTCTGTAATGAGCCTATCTCCTTGACTAAATGTAATAATGTGATAATATCTCATTTTAAAGATTTCCCAAACATTTAAGCATATCACCACAATTTCAGCATTTCTCATCAAACGAGAACATCTTTCTATCTGTTGACTATTTCATCTGTTTTCTGAGCGCTCACAGCAACTCTATGAAGTCCAAAGTAGGAGATTTGCTTCTGATTAATTCTTACTGGCAGTGGTTGGCATTTACATCTGATATTTATGCTGTGCAGCGCTCTACATGGTTACTTTCCTTACATATCTGGCGGTCTTCTTGGAAATCAGGTTTTACCATTTTGTTACTTCTGGTCAGAAACAAGAGGCCCAGGAGTGGCTGTTAGTTCTCAGTATTGCTTAACCTAAAACAGCAAGATCTTATGTCTTTTGCTGTGGAATGGGGAGTGGGTGGGTGGGTGGGGGGAGACGAGCCAGCTTTGAAAATAAACTGGATTTTCTTTCTTATTCATATGTAATTAGAGTCCCTTTGTAACTGCTCATTACCACCTCAATAGTTATAGGATGAATAAATAATATATATTTTTAAATGTGGCAAAACCAAGAAAGAAGTAGCCAGCGCTGCATCTAATTTATCAACTTGGTGATTAAAGGGCTGGCTTGGGAGGCTCCAGACATCGAGGGACCCACAGATAAAATGGAGCAGTTGGCTGTGTTTTTTACTAATGAATCTCAGGCTTGAAAGATATCAAGCAATTTTAAAGAAAAGCAGCAAGGACAAGAGACATTAAGAGAGGGCCAATAGGGTAATGAAGGGCAAAGCCAGTTACTGAGAGAGAAAATTACTTCATTTTCTGTGATAATGCCCCTGCGTGCCGTGGAGGCTCTTCTCACGCTCTGTCAGGACGCCCCCTGTACCCGCAGCATCAACACGCTACTTACAGTTTAGAAGGGAAGCGCCTTGGAACCTTCCGCAGAGGGGCGGGGGGGGGGGGTGCTATTGTTTGCAAAGGGGGAGGCCAAGAACAATGGTAGCAGAAGGGGGTGAGGTTGCAAGGTGAGGAACGCCTGCTTGGACAGGATGTGAGGGACGCACAGGATTCAATCAAGACATAAGACATAGCAAGGAAAGAAAGAAAAAGGCAGGCAAACATACTCTGGAAATGCGGCATGGCTTGGAGGTTGAGGCGGGACCGACTCTGGGGCTGGCCCAGCAGGGTCCCCCTGGGGACGCCTGCACTCCGGGACTTTTAGTGGCGCCCCAGAGAACCAGGTCACCCACACTGGACGTGGCCTCCGCTAGCGGGGCTGCGGACACATCTTCTGCTTTGTGGGGAAATGCAGGGTCTTTTAGGAACAATTCCAGAGTATATTTAGCTCCCAAAGCCGGGGCACACACATGTCACATTCCCATGAGACAATAGACCCAGTGACAAGAGCACCCGCCAGAGGCCCCGTAAAACCCACAGGATTCTCACATCCTGGGAGATGCTGCACACGGATGTGACATCGTTCCGGCACCCGCGTCAGGGGCTGAGAAGAAGCGAGGGCATCGCAGATTGGCCCAAGTGAAGGGGTGTCAGAACAGAATCGAGATTTTTCCAGCGGGATCACGCCACCACCAAGTCATACCACACAGCACGCGGCCAAACAAAACGAACGTTGAAAATAAATCATGAACATCAAACAGAAAAACAATTCCGAGCGAAATGGAAATTAAAATCATAAAAATCATGGTAAAAGGAACATTAAGCTTCATCTGTTTGGTTTTGTTTTCCTTCTGATTTTCTACACGACGACTCATTGGCATTGCCCGGTCAGACACACCATCAGTTGTCAAACAAAGCAAAGTCGGATGTGACAGGGCAAGGCAAGGAGTGGAGAGCCACGAGCACAGTGATCATGTTATACACCCATGCAGTCACCTCTGCCACCATTGTTTGACGCTCTGTACACCGCTTCCAGCTTTGTCAGTATTCGGAATAAGACCCGAGAGAGTGAGCAATGCCGAATTTTCAAATCATCTGTCAAAGTGTTCATTGGACTCTTTGATCACCTCCGTCCCTCGGGGGTGTCAGCGACTGGAGAAGATCCATGCCACCCGCCTCGGTGACGGGGAGAGTGGGAAAAAATGATTGCCACCAACCGCTGGGTATTGGGTTGACATATTTCATGCTCTCCTGGAAAGACTGGGTTTCCAGAAAGTCACAATGGGCAAATGCAAAGTGATTTTACTGAGTCGTTTCTCCTTGAGAACTCAGCCGAGACTAACACAGCTGCAGTCGGAACCACACAGAACAAATACTGGCAAATGCGGGCACGGGGCCCATGAGGTGGTTCTGTCCCGTCACCCACCGGCCTGGTGCATTCTCAGGATGGACTGACCAGTGATGGACTGACCGGCGACCCCTCATACTACCAGAGGCTACTGAGGCCAGGCCTTTTTTTTTTTTTTTAAAGATTTGGGGCCAGGTATACTGATGAGAGGAAGACAGAAGGGAATAAAATCGATGGAAGGGTCAGCTCTCCACATTTTGGCTTGGCCAGTGAAGCAGCAGTGTGTGGGCCCTCTGGGGAGATGAGCATCACATGAGGATCAAAATTTAGCAGGAGAGTCTGCCTAAAAACCCTTCCCTACAAGTGAAGATGGAAATATGTCGGCAGACAGCTCTGGGCGAGGACACCTCAGAGACGGTCTTCCAAGGGTCACTCTGGCCGGGCTGCCTGGAGACGCAAAGGCCCGCTTGGATGAAACTCTTGAAAACATATAGAAGTAAACAATTCTGAATGGAGGGAAACAGCTCGCAACATAACCGGGCTTTTCAGCCTCTGATTTACAAGACTGTTTGTTGGACAAGTAAAGGCCTCTTTGGTCGCAGCTGCAACTAAAGTGGGATGTGTTACCAGAAGCAGCAAATGGCGAGAAAAGACATGACATTTCCTGTCTCCAGTTGAGCAAAGAAAGCGAGGGAGTATTGGGGACAGTTCACAGTGGAATCCCTTTCATTTGGTGCCGCTTCCTTTCCGTTTTAAATGCATAGCAATTCTGCTCGATTCAATAACATATTTTTGTTTTAGCTGTGGTCCTCCCAGGGCCTTCGGCGTCTGCCTCAGGACCTGGCTCTATTCAAATTCAGCACCAGGCGAGGGTGTGGGGTGACCAGCCAGAAAAGCCTCTGTCCTGCTATTTCTCCATTCATGGATTCAACGGGCCTTTACTGCAAGAACATTCACTGGCCTGAGCCCGCACAGCCTTCCAGGCCATCGTGGTGGGCACAGGGGATCCCAAAATCACAGAATCCGCTCAGAGCAGTGGAAGGGATCTCAGAAGCAACATCTGCTTGGGGCCAAGCCATACCCCTTTTGGGTGGAGGAAGCTTAGAGGATGTGTTATTTGTTTTGTGTGGTTTCTCCTTGGTCGGGGGGTAATTTAGGATCAAGCCCAGCACAGAGGATGGGCTCGCAGGCTTTTGTGAGACGTTTTCAATGCCAGCGCCTTGGAGGTTCCTTAAAGGCGGCTACGAGAGTCAGCTGGAAGCAGTTACACAGACCTCCCCACTTTTCCTCCCTCTCCCCCCAGAGGAAGAGGCATTTCCAAGGCCTTACCCTTCTTGTCTTGGTGATTATGGGAAGACACTGCCCCCAAAGTGTCTGTGCTGTCCGGTGAATGGAGCAGATCCTTCCAATCCAGCATGCCTCCCCTAGACTCAAACCCCTCGTGAGCCGCCGAGTCTGACGTGGTGGTGCTGTGCAAGAGGGAACTGGAGTGCCCTGTTTGCATCACAAATACAGTTAGGGAAGACATCACTGGAGGGACCCACATTCCCTTTTCTCAGAGGCCAGAAGGTGGGACACCCAAGCTGGCTGCTAAGACTGGAAGGAGATGGTCCTAGAAATAACGAGGCTGGGGCTGGAGTTCAGGGAAGCCCCCCTGAGCTTATAGTTAAGGCAAGATGGGCGAGGTCTTATCTCTGCTACCTGCTGGGTGGGTCTCTGGGAACCTTGTGACCTCCCTCGACCTGGGTTTTCCTTGTGTGCAGAGTGTGGCTGATGTCATTTAGATGAGGAGAGTATCTCATTGTGTCTGACACAGGGAAGGTGCTTGGAAATACTAGCGTGCACCTCTGGTATCCCATCGTAGCACTGAAGGCAGAGTGTGTCCACTCTGGAGACACCACACGTATCTGATGGGGCAGGTTCCCAGCAGGGGATGAGCCTTTTCCTGCCACAAGCAACTGAGTATTAGAGCCTTTGCATGGGGCTATGTCTAGCTTCAACTCTTTCTGGGAGGAGGCTCTCTAAGGAGATGGCTCTCCTCTTTTTCACTGGCATGGAGGCCTCGCCTGCCCCATGCTGTTATGGCTGTGCCTTTGTGTCAGGGTTCTAACAGTTATTTTCCTGACTCACTTACAAGGGGCCATTTTTGAGGCCACACCGGCTGGCATGACTCAGGGTAGAAAGGGCTAGCTTCTGGAGATCCGCAGGAGCCTGCCGCAGGCTAATGTAAGAAGAATGACTAGGTTGGAATTTAGAATGGAAATTCTGGGCATTTCCCGTGATCCATCCCTAAACTTCCCCTCCATCACGCCACAAGGTTAAGTGCAGATTATATCAGGTGCTTTGATCTAAACTGTCACAGTGATTTAAAGAGGCCCCTCTACCTGTTCTCCCTGACAGAAATAAAATATAACCTTTCTGTGGTTTTCAAGTTAAGTCTTTGACTTATTAAACCCTCTTACCTATAGCCACCTCTTGAACAATTTTTAAAAAGACATCAGGGCAGCTATTGTGAATGTCTAATAGGTGCCTTTGGTACAAAGTAGGACAGATTCCCAAGTGGCTCCGGCCTCAGGCTGTGATCATCACATAGGCAATGAAATACTGGCCATCAGAAAGAAAGATTTTAACCATCGATGCACTGCATTTATCGTTTTAATAATTAATCTCGGAAGCTGGATTCCCAGGAGACTTCAGTGTTGCAAATTGCAGACAAATTTGCAATATTGCAAATTAGAGACAACATTTATAGTAATGAGATAATATATGATATACATAGACAATATAGATGAACATACATATGTGTGTGGTGTGTGTGTATATATATATAATATATATGTGTGTGGTGTGTATATATATATACACACACACACACGAAGATAACTTTTAATCTTAAAATTTTGCTTAGCAGGGAAAAGCCAGCCAGCCATGTGGTTCATCTAAGCTATATAAGAGTTGCACGGAACCACAACACTTAAATAACCACAAAGCTTTGGTAATATTTCAGAGGCCTCTTTCCATATAGAATTTGTCTCACTTCCACACAGCTTCAAACATCCACTTTGTTGCAAATAGTCTGGTTCTAATCCAACTCTGAAAAACATGTTCACTTAAAACTCAAGAATGCTTGCAGCTAGACTTTTTTGTTTTTCCATTTCTGGGCTTCATATTCTCATAATACTGATAAGAGAACAGGGGTAGGAAAATTAGCCTGAGAATTAGAAATACGGAATTTCCTTTATTTCCTTTCTGCCCCTCCTTCCCACTCTTGAACTCAACACTGCTCTCATGAAATATATGGCCCATCTAGGAGAAAATTCAGCACCCAGCATAAGCGAACAATTAGAAATAGCTTTGTAGGGAGTTAAAAAGCAGGGAAGGAAAAAAAAAAAAAAAAAAACACCTCTCCCTCAAGTAGCAAGAAGTTCTTTTACCTGAATTGATATGCATTTTGAGCACTTTCAATTTAACTGTGTTCAAGGGGCAATTTTATGGTAATGCCATAAGTATGGTTTAGGGAGAACATTTCTTAATACGGTAATCTAGGGGAAATATATGCCTAGGGGACACATTCTCTGTAGAAAGATTTCCTGGACCATATGCTGCAAATACATGGAAAAGTCATTGGTAGTGGAAAGCTAGGGCTATGAGAGGAAATTAATGTGGACCAGATGGTAGTTAGGTAGGAAAATGTTTTACACAAATGTGAGAAATCAGCTACTTCCTATTGCTGAAGTGTTAGTGTACTACCCACCATCTCTCTATTTTCTATATGTAAATCTAGAGAAACCATGCATCTGATGTCCTTGGGAAAAAAAAAAAACCCAACAATAACAAAATAGTGTGAGGTTTGTAATCTTTTAAATTTATGCTTGATGATAGGCAGCTCGTGCCATTAGTGAATCAGTCGAAGAATGCAATCAGTCGAGAATCCCTGATTCTCAAAATTTTGGGGACCCCTATGCAAAGCACCACTAAGTAGTGGTCCTTCCTTTGAAATTCGTCAATAATGTGTTATTGCCAAACTTAAAAATTGGCACAAGGAAATCACTTACATTGCTTCCTATAATCTGATTGGACAAGCTGTATTATTTTGGTGCATCCCCTAGAGACTTTGTAACCAAAATAAGGCTACAAAAATAGGCAGACATTTGTGGATATGGTATCATATACCAGTAGAATCCGAACCTATCATTTTGCCTTGTTATTCCAATAAGAAAAAGCATGTTTCAATCAGTGGAGCTTAATGCTGTACTATTCATAGGAAATGCAAAGCAATAGATTTTAAAAGGTAGTTTTACTATGCATCTTGTTGTTTCTCTATATCTACAAGTCATGATGATTCCAGAATTAGAGACCCTTCAAACGACCTCAAGTTATTAACAATGACTGTAGCCAATTAGCACAAAAAGACACACCAAATCAGTACAGAGAGAAAGAGAGCAGGAAAGCAATCAGGGTCCAATTCACTAAAAAGGGGCAAATGGTCTGGCCTCCACAATCTCGGGGAGGATGTGGAGATATACTCAAAGAGATTGCAGGGTTTCTTGAAGTGGTTCCTTTTTTTCTGAGTTGGGCAGTTCTGGTTTTATGATTCATCTCATAGTCTCTGAAAATGGGCCTGCACTCAGCCACTGAACTCCGTGGGGACTTGCAAGGGGAACAGCTAGAAACTGTGGACTTGTGGGTCAGCTTCCTGTTCTGCATGTTGGGTTTTCCTTTGACACACTAACTCTTCCAGCGCCTGGAACATAGTAGGCATTTAACAAATATTTGCCGAATGAATGAATTAAATCTAGTCTAGGTTTATTCTCAAAAATACGTATCTCTTAGAATAGCTTATGAAAAGGAATTCTTCTGTATCTTTGTAAGTACTGTCTTAGACTAGCCTTCATTTTGATGGTTAATTAATCATCTGAGCACTTCACACGGGATAGATTTTAGCCTGAAATGGACAGGATTTTTAGTTGAAAGGAAAGTTCCAACTCTTTAGTTTTATAACAGAAATCACTGATCAAAAGCTGTGGGCAAATGGGCATTATCCTTTAAAGTGTGAATATGGAGGGATTAATCCGTCGCTTTCCCTTTGCAAAGGAAATAATAGAGATTTATAGATTGGAGGGTGGTTTTGTTCAAAAAGAACATCCCTTGGAGAAACTATTCTTTCTGTATGAGAAATTACCTGAGAATTAAGATTGGTCTGAATGTGATTGATTAATGCTGGGGAGTTTGCTAGTTCAATTAGATTCAAGACCTGCGCTTCTCAATATCTGTAACGATTATTCAGTTGTAGGAAATGATTGCCAAGTATGATATTGGAGAAGAGCAGATGCTAAGTGCTTTCTGTTTTTGAAGGGCAAGCTAAGCTAGATGACATTTGCCTCCTGAGAAATTTTACTTGCAGTTGTTGGTATTTAATATTCTGGCTTGACTTATAGATCGGAGAATGTTAAAGGTGGAATGTTAATTCTGTGGGCTCGCTCACCCACTCCACACTGCCTTCATTACACACTGAGGCCATCGGGAGAAAGCAGGCATCGTTTTCTGTATTCGCACAGTGCCAGTTTATAAGATGGCCATGCCAGCTCTCGAGGGGTTTTCTCTATGCTAATTAGATACAGCGAGGGAAAGTTTACACAGAGCTATAAAATACATTTGTAGCCATTTTGAACTATTTCATTGGCTCCTAAATCCACCTTGCTTTCTCTTCCCCCTGTTCTTTTGTTTCCTTTTCCTTTTTTTTTTTTCCCTTCCTTTATCACCTACTTCTTCATCTAAAGACTGTCCTGGAAGACAGTTCTGTTCCCTATCTTAAACACACAAGCCAGAAATGTCAGTGAATCAATGAAGCTTATAGTCCTCACTGCAATGTGAAAGCTTAAATTTGCCATCACTCCTATGTTTTCCACAATATTTTTTCCAAAAAGAATAGTTCACCCTAATAAATATCTGGGGGAACTCTGAGAAATGTAGCCGACCCATTTCAACTTGGCTGAAAGAGCTCAGAATACTCTGTTTATGGACTTCATGGTTTGTTTAGTGTCGTGCCTGTGTACGCCGGAGCGGGAACAATGGGATAAATCCTGTTTGCACATGGTTCCCACCACGTCACCCTTCCTGGTATACAGTGGGAAGAAATCACACTGAAAATATGTCTAAATATTCATACTCTTTGAGCGCTTTCATTTCAAAGGCTGACTTCATGTGAATTTCAGGAAAGGTTTTCCTGTTAAGAACTGGGTATCCACAGCCCGTATGGATTGTCCCCCGCAGAGGGTATGTTCGGAAGGCAGGGTTTGGGGGAACGCGGTGCTCAGTATCTGTCAAGGAGCTGCAGCCCGTAAGGTGTGAGCACCGTTCTTTTTATCTTGGATATACTTATGTCCAAAAGCAATTTCTTCTCCCTCAAGAGCTCATTAAGTAGATTCACCAAATTCCCAAAGGCTGGCAGGTTTTATGTTACCTGAATTAAAAATGTAGGACTCAAATCTCACTTGCCAATTGTGTCATGGAGGCAGAATGGTTTTTGAAGCACTGTGAAATCTATAAATAATTTTAGTGAATTGGAACCCTGAAGTCACAAAGAATCTGGTCCATGGTGTTTAGGAATGAAACTATAAACTACCACAGGGTGAGTGGATTGAAGAATTAAAAAAAAAAAAAAAAAAAAAAAGAAATCTATAAACTGACCAGGTACTGTGTTGTAAGACATTTCATAATCTGGTAGAGGAGTAGAAATGTCTATAAAAAAATAATGATGATAAAAAATTTATTAAAATAGAAAAACCTAGGGCTTGAAAATAATCAAGAGAATTAGTGAAATAAGATTGCCCAAATAGATTGCCACCAATATTAAATTATCAGTAATATCTTCCTTACCATTCAGCGCCACGAAGGAATCTGGAAGACAAAAGAGAGAAGGTGACTTAATGTTTCACATTTTGCTTAGTGTGACTTACATAATAAGTGGGAATGAGCTAATGCAGAACTAGGTTACCATATGATCCCCAATACCAAATAAGCATTTTTTAATTCCTGATTCTAATGTAAGATGCTCAGACCCCCAGGATCCCCCCCACCCCAAGCAGGTTACATCAAAGTCATGGCCTTTGGTGCCAGGAGGTAGAGGAAAAAGCCCCAGCTGATAGAAGGAAAGGCTTTTTGTGATTACATGCGAGTCTGAGAATTTCAGCCCTACTCTATAGCGAGGGACAGGTATGTAGACAAAGTAAGTGCTATCTGGATCACACTCAAAAAGCACTTTCTTTTTTTAAAATGAAATCCTTGAGGCCGATTTGAATCTAATAAATTCGACAAATAAGCCTGTGTAAACTTAAGGTGCGCACCATGTTACTTTGATACTTATTTTATGTGTTGGTGGTTGTAGCCTTATTTAGCACAACACATAATCATAGGACAGCATTACTATTTATATTCAGACCTTCTATTCCTTTAAAAAAATGTATCTTTTTTAAATAGAGGTAACATTGGTTTACAACACGATATGATTTAGGGGTGTAGGTTCTCACTTCCTCTGATGTATGTCACCGTCCTGCACCCACCACCAAGGTCCCCACACTGCTCCGCCACAGAGCGGTGAACCCCTCCATACTGCTCCCCACCTCCAGCCCCCTCTAGCAGCCTCAATTCCCCATTCAGAAATCTAGCAGTTTTTCTTTTGTTGGCCTGTTCCTTTGTTTTGTTTCTTTATATTCCCTGTATGTGTGAAATCATCTGGCATTTGTATTTCTCCTTTGACTTATTTCACTTAGCAAAGCACTTTTCTTCCTGTTCTGTCGTTTAATCCTCACAGCCATGCTGTGAAGAACCGTCCAGTACCACAGTGTTCTGAACTCCACAGAACTAGTTGGGGAATTACAAACAAAAATAAAGTCACACACGTGCGTGCGTGCGTGCATGCATGTGCATGTATGTGTGCGTGCATGTGTGTGTGCACACGCAGGGGGCCAGATCATTGCTCACTCAGCTTCCTCCTCAGCCTCTCACACAGACTCTGTGATTTCCTCTTTTCCCTTAAAATCCCGCTAGGGGATTTTTAAAGACATTGTGCACCAACCTCTCTGCATGCCTGTGTGGCAAGATCAGTTGTGCTCACAGGGAGAAGGGGGTGCAGAGAAGCCATGAGAATGGGCAGCAGGGAGTCAGCCAGCCCTGTAAGAGCCCCAGCAGCAGTGAGGTTCAAGGTTAAGGGGCACATGAAAACATGAGCTTGACCACTGAGCCTGAAGTGGGCATCACTAGTTTTTGATCTAGGGTGCACTCTGTGCTGGATAAGAGGCTTCCTTGGGGTCTTCTGCCAGAGGACAGATGGGGTGCAAGGCAACTGCTGTAGTGATGCTTTACAGAGACAGCAATAAGAATCTGCTCACTGTTGGTATGTGAACCTGCTCAATCCAAAACTACTCGCCTGTTTTTCTGTAGATGCCCATACCGCCAGATCATTGTGATGTGATGAAAATGTTTCCTTAAAGTCAGCTAATAAGTATACTCGGGTAGATACACACACAGACCAAAACCCATTCCCCTGAAAATGTTGCTGCCAGGCACCAACATGAGTAAGATCCACTGATGAACCCCAAGATTGTTCACTGTAAACAAGGAGCCTGTCCTCTGGTGATGACACTGTCTCTTATGCTACTGTCTTAACTTGTAAATTTTGAGCGCGAAGCCATAGTGCCAATATATAATATTTGCAAACCAAAAGATATATCTATGACAAAGATTTGGGGATGAGGCTGCCTATAGCTCTTGGGTTATATCCGAAAGCTAGAAAAGATAAGGTAATAAGCTGAATGGCACCTAGTCTGAATTTGTAGTGTTCATGGCTCTAAGCTTAGTTACATCCCTGATTTTTACTATAGAGTCACATATCAGAAGTCATATCATTTCTTTCCCTTAGGAGCTAATATTTTTGTGCCATAGCGAATGTAAGCTTCTTGAAATTCATCATGTACAACATTTAAAACATCACAAAATAAGTATTTTCCAGGACTATGGCATTGTCCTCTTCATTAGCATTAATAAGGATTTTTCAGGCGTTTACTGATGTTAATCAGTCCACAGGTCCACTGGCTAGAATTTTGGCCAGGATTCTTGATATAAGTTTTTAACTAAAATGTTACCATTTCATAATTTTTTTTTTCCATTTCATAATTTTTGAAATGAACTCTGAGATTAGCATGGTAGGTTAATGCCTAAAAAAGGTATTTTTTGAGTCATTTTGTACCTAGTGGGCTCTCTCTGAAAATTTCTTCTACTGGCAATGGTAACAGATATAAATTTAATGAAAGAAATTACTTTTGTTAGTTGCTGTGTTCAAAAAAAACAAAAGGTCCATTCAATTTAAAGGCTAGAGTACAGTGACTAACCCATCTTATTATATGGCTAAAAACTATTTTGTAATAACATATTAAAAAAAAAGATGGCATTTTCTTTTTTTTTCTTTTTTTTTTTAAAGATTTATTTATTTATTTATTTATACAAGCACTGGGTACAGTCAGAAGCGCGGGAGGGTGAGAGAATTCACCAGAGCCAGAGTGGGGAGTAGAGCAGGCAGAAGGACTGAAGTACACTGCTGAGGGGAGCAGAGGGCGGCAGGAGAGGTCTGTGCGCCATGTGGGACCCTCTTCTGGTGGCCGGGGAGCAGCCGGGGATCGAACCGGCGCCGCAGAGGTCGCGGGCAGCTTCGCAACCCAGCGCTCAACCGCTGCGCCACCGGGGAGGCCCAAAACGATGGCATTTTAAATTGTAATGCTGATGTAACTTACTCTTCTCTTAAAACTAATATCCTCGAGAGAGAATTTATTCCACAGTATTACAATAATGAAACAGGTGCCAGCATTTCATTGCCACAACTTTGACAACACTGTCTTGATTTAAAACAATTTCTTTTCTTACAACATGGACCTTCTCCTATTTATTTGGTCTTGAGAACATGATTTCTGCTGTTTATGCCATAGTACCAGATGCACTCAGATCCACATGTCGGTCTAGGCCATGCAATAAAAGCATGTTTGCCCAAAGCTAAACGTGACTAAGAAGCTCTACTTACTGTGACAGTCTCCCAGGCCATCTGTGTTGCCACGCTCTATGTCCTGTTCAAAAGTCAGTCTTAGAAAAACGGGGTGGCGGGGAGAGAAAGGCAGAAACAAATTCAATAATATGAATGGTTATTCCGGAACGAGTCTTAAGTCACACTAAAGAAAGTAACACAGTTTGATAAATTGAGTGGCAGGTGCAAAAAATGAAGTAAATAACAGCTTGCAAATTTATCTCTGAAGTTTACAGAAATGAGTCTTATGCGAATCTCCAAAGAGGAGCCATCGTTTAAGCAGTTAATTCAAATACTGTGTAGGGAGTTAATTAGTTTATGGATTATTTATAGCCTTCTTTACTCTGATTCTCTGAGCATCAAACACTTGAAAAGTTTAGATGTTAAAATATGGCCCTTATATAAGCAATAATTAAAAAATAATTAAAAATGTCTTTCTCCTCTCTACTTTTTCTTTCACTTCTAAAACCTCTTGACTTCTAAGACCTTTTATCTTTGCTTAGCAACAACTTGCATAGAACAGAGTATCCAAAGGTCCAGAGAGATGTGTGGGGTCCCCAAGGGGACAGTAACTGGAGGTGTGTTTTGCTGAGGCCACTCAAGTATGTTGTTCAATGTCAGCCCCACATCCAGTTCTTGGGCGTACTGTCTCCATGCTTCTCCAGATGCTCACTTTTCTTCCAAGCCACCAGGTCACCATTGCAGGGGACACGCTATCAGTATGCAGTATGTAGCATGAACGAGAGCAATCTGAATATCTGTTTTGAGTTTTAAAATAAGAGCCCGGGTATCCAAAAGACAACTTCTTTGGGGGAATTTGGGCTTCTGACCACAATGCAATTAAAGCTTCTACCTGCCTTTGAAGTTTAAGAGCCATAGAGCAAAACCACTCTGAAAAGCACACCTTGAGCTAATAATCTACTACATTTGTTTTCCCCTGAGTTTTGCTGTATTAAAAGTCAAACTCATCCTCAACAGATAAAGATTTCTAATGGCAGTGAAGCCAATATTCATTAGGCCCTGAAGGCCGCCTTCCCAGGGATGTTCCATATGTTTGAGCCACACTGGCAGCATTGAAATGTGTGCATAGACCCTTAGGGAACTGTGTTGGAGTTTCTGCGTTGACTTAAAAAAAAAATTAATATCAATAGTAAAAAACCCTTATTATCTTTGGGTGTACTGGAATATAGGAAGGAGAGAAGAGTCACTTCTTAGCTTCCTTCACTGCTCTGCAATCCTTTTTTCCTTCACCTCAAGGCTGTCCATGGAAAGCTATAAAGCTCTAACATCATAGTACATCAACATTGCTACTTGCAACACTTATCTTATAATACAGTGAGCCGACCCTTTGCTTAGTGAGATTTCCAGGGCAGACTTATCACTAGCTCTCTTTATGGGAATAATTCTCCTTAATCTGTGCAGGGGTGGCCGGCAGATATAACCTCCTGCCTATTTTCCTAGTTACTGTAAATTGGGATTGGAGGCTCAGAGTGATATGAGGGTGACTGTTTCCTGTTGGGCTCTGGGCAGACTGAAGGGATAGCTAAGTAGAAAGTGTCCTAAGGTACATTCCTTGAGGTGCCATAACCAGTTAAGAACATGCACTGAATGTTTTTCCAAATGCAATTTTGGATTCCACGTCCACTCAAGTAAGAGTATAAGAGAAACCCTTCACCGGGCCATCTACGCATTTAAAGACAGTAACGATTTGAGCACCAGAATCACAGGCTCAGTGGACTGGCTGCATCTAGTTGAGCTGCAGGAGAACTGCCAAGAATTGATCGGCTCCCTAATGATTAATAGGGCCAACTGCTCATCAGTGCAGGAAAAAGGTTTATTGGTTGTATACACCATGCTTGCCGTGCAAATGCATCACTTAACAAATGCGCTGCAATTTCTTCTCAGCCTTGCATGGCCAAACCACGTCCCTAATCGAATTGACAGCCTCTTGCTCCTTCTCTCTGCTGTGCTCGCACTGTGACGTTCAGGCGAGCACCTTTTTGTCCCTCTCCCCAGGGAATACTTAGAAGCCCACTCTTTCCTTTCTCGGTGATTTTAATCAGTCTGAGGATGGATGTTTAGGCAGTTGGAAATGTGCCACATGCGATGTTGGGGTGCTCTATGAAATGGGAGAAGGAAGGATATTGTCTGGCAGCTGCACTGGAGAGGTTTGTGAGCAGGAGGCCTAGTGGTGTGTGTGAGCCCAACTAACTGCATGTTTTGAATGCAAGGCAGCCAAAGGCCACTGACCAGCCCACTTCAGTTCCTCGGACTCCTTACCTGCTGTTGGGTGACAGATGGGCACAGGCACCTGCTTCCTTGACCCACCCGCAGTATGGGTCTCTGGAGGCAATACAGGTTCTGCGGGAAGAAGAGGCCATGAGCGACCTAGGACTCCTGTCTAAGCACCGTGGGCTTTCTAAACGCGAAGGAGGCAAAACACATACTTTTTACATGTCCCATGTCGTTCACACCGGCCAAGGGGAACCTTTATCACACAGGTAGAGAACGCCACGTACAGAGAGCTGCTCGCTTTGTCCAGCTGCATGCCCATAATCCTCTTGTCTTCTACTCCATCATAGCTGCACCTGATTTTATAAGGTGGGATGATATCATTAATAGACTCTCTAGGGTCAAGTTCCTTTTGCCTGCCACCACTCTTGTACCCCACCTCCCGGCCCGATGATCCCCGCATCTGATCTCATCGGAGGTGAAACAGATCCTCGAACACAGAACCTCTGAGTGTCTATATAAACACATCATGGGCAAGAAGAAGATGACCCTTTTATTATGTACTAAAAGCTTTTTACACGTAATACAAAAATTCACTTAAAAATGCACACAGCCGGGGGCCTCCCCGGTGGCGTAGGGGTTGAGCGCTGGGTTGCGAAGCTGCCCGCGGCCTCTGAAGTGCCGGTTCAATCCCCGGCTGCTCTCCGGCCACCGGAGGAGGGTCCCACATGGCGCGCAGACCTCTCCTGCTGCCCACTGCTCCCCTCAGCAGTGCACTTCGGTCCTTCTGCCTGCTCTGCTCCCCGCTCTGGCTCTGGTGAATTCTCTCACCCTCCCGCGCTTCTGACTGTACCCAGTGCTTGTATACATAAATAAATAAATAAATCTTTAAAAAAAAAAAAAAAAAATGGGCACAGCCGGAGTCTGCTGTGATTTTTCTCTCCATGAAAACGGGCCATAGTCGCGTAACAAATGACTAAGAAGGAACCAAACATTCTACTCACTTTTCGGGGTTGTAAACGCTTATCTCCTCCAGGAAAAGGCTGTCATTTAGAAAACCACTGTTTCCTATCCTGGCCAAGAACTTCAAGATGATTCCCTTCTCGGAGCCCAGGAAAACCACCGTGTGATTGAGGTACGGCCCCGCAGCGGGGTCCACCGCGATCTTGGTCAGGCGGTATCTGAAATGACAGGAGTCACTTTTTCAAAATGTCTTTGTGGCTCTGTCATTAAAGTGTCCCCTTCTCCACTTCAAACAACTGTGACAGCGCTTTCTAGCAATAACCTCAAGAAAAATATATGCATATAAATAATACTCTCAAGCTGTTCTGGCCCTTTATTTCCATATGCGGAGCATTAGCCTGGCTCCGAGGGGAGGAAGGAGGTATGTGTGTGCGGAGGCCAAGTTCCATAATAAATAGATGTGCACAGCCATCTGAAACCACTCAGCAATGATCCCTTCCATGAGCAGCAAGGAAAAGCTGATGTCTCCACTGAGGAGAGAAAGAAAGAATACGTGAACCCAGTTAACACTGAACAGAAAGGCTATGGCTACCATTCCCGGCCTTCCTCGGAGCTGCGAAGCCTTGTCAGAAGAGTGTCGGGTTGGAAAGCTTTCTGAGTACATGGAAGCGGGCCGAGAGGGTTATGCAGGCTGGGGAGGTGGAGTACTGATAAAAATAGCGGCGTGTGCAGACAAGCACCCCTTACATCCCCGAGTGAAGGCCATCCGTCCTGCCAAACGCCTCTGCTAAGACCCGCAGGAATCTCCCCTGAAATCCCTCAGCTGTGCAATACTCCCGAGATTCCTATTTGTCTTCAGCACCGGCAGGAACCAGGTGATGTCGACCCTCCTGCAAGTTATATGCCACGCTTTCCACCTAATGCCACGGGCCATTATGGTATTTTTATACCTTTCAATAAAGTCACAGAATAAAAATGGTGCTAAGGTCAATTAGCCTTTTGCTTGATGGCCGTTCAACTGGATGATACTGGGGAAAGCTGCTGTATGGTGTGGAAATCGGCTTGACACAGAGCAGGAGGTGCCTGAAATGCCTTCACAGCTCTAAACAGCTCTCCCTCGCTGTTGGCCACCTCTCCACATCACCAGTGCTAACGCATGAACCCCCCCTGGCCAGCACCCTGCCCTGGTGCAGTGCTCCGTCTGACAGCTCACACCCAGGGATAAGGCTTGGCTGGAATCTGAGCACATTTTGTGACCATGCCCCACCCAACAGGTACCCTCATCCACTGACTGCATCTTCCTCACTGCTCATTGACCTCTGCATAGACCGGGGGAGGAGCCGCCTGGAAATACATATTTGTGCTTGCTCTAATTGTTGGCCTGAGTCCAACTAGCCTGAAACTATCAGACCTCTTCTCGCTGGGAGCCTGGGAATGGGGTTGAGGGCCTGCACCCAACCCATTGGCATTTTGTAGCTGAATTGACACCCAGCATAACAGAAGATGTTTGTGGCACTTCAAAGCACAACCCACTGATGGCTTCTCTGAGCATGAGAGGGCCTCAGGGAAATCCACTTAGGACCTGGTTGGCTTCACACTCACCTGACCATCGTCCGCAGGAACCATGGCTTGTTGATGATGGAAGGCACAGCCTCATCCATGAGCGGGTGTGTCTTGATGAAGTTCAGGGTGTCATCGGGAAACTCATTGGAGGTGGCATATTTTTCTAAGGAGGATGAGCCAGCGCAGCAACCTGGCCTAAAACAGAGGCAAAGGATGGCAGGGCGGGGGCTTATTTCATGACTTACGGCAAAGTCTTTGAATGAACTGCCCCTGGCATGAAGGAGGATGCACCCTGGGCTGAGAAGAGGAAGGTGAACAGTGCAGAATGCTGGCGAATAAAATGGGCTAAGGTTTCCTCCGGCACGCCGCCTTCTTCCACAGAGGAACCTCAGCCAGGGCAGGTTAGCCATAGCTGGGGGTGGCATGGCTTCCCCGCAGAAGCATGAACAGACCCCAGGAAGTAGCCATGGAGGTTGGCCACCAGTGAGGAGGGTGTGTGTGGTTCGTGTGCTTCAGGATCAGCTCTACCTGTCCCCAAACCCTGCTGGAAGTCCCCGGCATGTGCTTTATGACAGGGGAGAACTAGGCTAACTTTGTCCCAAATGTCGATGAGACACAGGCATTGAAAAAGCAGCAGCCAGCATCCCTACAGTGCAGCTTAACACGAGCCCTCTCTAGTCAGCTGGAGGTCAGAGGACATTTGGGTTTGTTTTTTAAATGTTTTTTTTTTTGGTTTCTGTTTGATCTGGGGATGATATGAGAAGATAACTAAACTGAAGTTTCTCTCCTGAAAGGTCAGTTCTTTATTATTAAGCAATGACACTAAAAATCCACTTCTTTAAGAAATTCGTGGCTTTCTGGTCTCAAGGGACAGCCTGTCAAAGTGAGAACAGGGGGACCCCAAAGCCAATGCTGCTACGGGCATGTGCTATGCCCGCTCAGGCGGGCATGTCTGAGACCCCTGCAGAAGCCCTTTCCTGGCACTAACCCAGTCAGCTCTGTGCAGGCAGCCCCACGTCTGGAAGAGGGGTGAAGGAGCAGGTGGAAGGATAAGGAAATGCACATCATTTCCTCACCAGCAGGAAATCATTTCACACATGTCCCGGTGATGTCGAGGGCCACCATGTTTATATGCCAAAGACAGCCTGTTACATAAGTTCTCCCTAAAACCTGAGCCCTCAAGCTTAGCTCTTTTGCCCGCTGGCCCGGAAGGAAGCTAATCATCTCAGCAGGCGCGCAGCGATCCGAGGTTGCGAGGGAGTGCTTTTTACACCTCGTCTGCTCTCTCTACAAGAAACAGAGCATGCACTTGGTTCTGGGGGTGAAGAAGGATGAGCCTTTCTCTCCTGGGTCCACATGATCTAAGCAAGGACAGTTACCTGAACTGGGGCTAGGTATTGTGTGTGCGCCTGCGTGCATGCATGCATGCGGGTGTGTGTGTGTGTGTGTGTGTGTGTGTGTGTGTGTAGGTGTAGGGGGTGAGGGTTGGAGGAGAGAACTGGAAACCAAAACAAGTAATAAGACATTGCGCTTTCTTCCAGAGGTGCACAAATTCACTGGGGAAGCTGGGCACACAGGGATGCTTCTGTACAACTGAGCCTGCCGTGTGTCTTGAGGGATGCTGTGTACCTCACGGAGGTACAGGGAGATTTTAATTCTACCCCAGCAAGAAAGAATGAATTAGCTGGTTCTGTGTGATGATTTGAAGACAAGTACCTAGGACCAGTGGTCTCTGGGCAATAGGTTCCCCATGAAAGCAATTCTGGGGTACATTTTGGGAAGGGGAGACTCTGCATTGCATCTGGACCCTAAAAAGACAGATTCTGGCAGATCAGAGCTATCCTAGTATCACTGCATCTGTTGGTGTCTTCCTGCTCTTGGCCTGGAGTTCTGGGCTCAGTTCTGATCCAACCTGGTCTCAAAATCCAGCGAACGCCATTCATAGTCTACATTTTATTAGGCTTTAAAAAGACAGGTCTCCGCAGACTGAAGAGAAGCAGGAAGGTGCAGTGGAAACCACATCTCCAGTTGCATGCGTGAGCATCGTACACTTCACACCACTGTGGGCCTCAGTTCCCTGAACTGTGGACCATCAGGGTGGGAGGTCAGATGGCTCCTTTCATCCTTAGATTTATGTTGCATTAACCACAGATATAGATGTTAACCATAAGACTAGGGAATCGCCATTTTGACCATAAATATAAGTAATTCTGGGTTTTGGTTAAGGCGATGAAGTCAGATGGCCTCGCAGGCCTCTTGGTGCTGGCTTGTCGCTGCGGGAAAGCACTGAAGGCAAGGGTGTGAGCCCCGAGGACACTCACCATCAGGGGAGTAGCAAAGGGCCATTCCTGTGTCTGCACCTACCTGGGCTTAGGCACACGTTCATCAGGGACTGGCGTCCAGGTGGAATCTGGAGACTTCTGTTCCTTGAATCTCCCGGTGAAAACGGTGGCGATGTCATGCATGTCGTAGGCACAGACCGCAGAGCCAGGGATGCTGCAGTGGCACATTTCACACAAGGAGTCATTCATGCAACTGTCAAGCCCGCCGTTTGGAAAACATAACCCAAAGGACCTTTCCTATTCTGCACCGCTGAAATTTCAAGTTCATACCCTGAATACTATAAATGTGAGATCTTTCTGTGAATCAGACTTGCATTCATGGCCTTAAATAAAGGGCTAGTTGCAGCAAACTCTTGGAGAGGAAGTGAGGTCTCCGTGACTTATTTCTGGAACTGCTTTTATTTATAAAGGCTGAAGAATGGCTGAACGAGTGATCGAAAAGTTTCCTGAATTTCCTGATATCTTCCACCACTAGCCCAAGGATAAAATCTTTGGAAAACATTCTACACTGCTAATACTGGTGAAAATATGAAATTAAAGTGCCCCCACTGGCCACATACTGCTTCTTTGAATTGGTTTCCTCAAGTGAGACTCCCAGGAGTGAGAATATGTACGTGGGGAGCCCCTGTACATTTTACGTTTGAACATTTCGATTTTTATTTCCTACTTATTTGCATATGGCTAAACAATGTAAATCTCCAAAGCACCAGTAGTTCAGAAATAAAGTGCTCTATTAAACACTAAATAATAATAATGAGGGTAATCTCTACCCATAATTACATCCTTGCCTAGCCCTCCTGGAAGGACTTGGGGAGTTGGTTGCCTTTGGTTTTTTTTTTTTTCCCTTCAGTTGTGAGAAGCATTGAATTATTCATTCATCTGGGTGCACTGTTTGAATCCATGTTTGTTTTTGACTATGATCATTCCTTGATTTTGATCGAATAAATTGCAGGCACCAGCTGGCCAAGAGTTTTAATCAGCCTTTGAGGTGGTGGACCTTTGCACAGAAGGAGCATTTAGGGTAAGACTGGGGGTTTGGTCACGTGGGAATACCATGCAGGGCAGAGAAACTGACTGAGACCTGATGTAAATGTGCAAAGGCTATGCCAGTCACTAAATAATGATTAGGAGAATTTTACATCATTTTTAATTTCTTAATATAATTATTGCATATTACAATAAGATAAATAGACTAGAAAGTTAATTTTTTAAAAAAATAATTTCTTTTTTTTTTTAAGATTTATTTATTTATGCATACAAGAGTTGGGGTACAGACCAGAGGTATGGGGGGTAAGAGGATTCACCAGAGACAGAGTGGGGAACAGAACAGGCAGACTGACTGAAATACACTGCTGAGGGGAGCAGTGGGCGAGACAGGAGAGGTCTGCTGTGCCATGTGGTTAGCTCCCTGGCCAGCTGGGGATCGATCTTGTGCTGCAGAGGTTGCAGACAGCTTCATAGGTTGCGTCTTAACCCCTTGCGCCATCAGAGAGGCCCAAAAGTTAATTTAAAGCAAGGTGGCAGGATGAATTTTAAGCTATGTCATATAAATTTCACAGAATTGCATCTATAAGACAGTGATGCACCATTTGTTTTGGGAATTTCAGAACCCTAGCATTATATATTTAATTTGGGCAGACTCTTTTCACACCTCCCTTTCCTAAAAGTAATAGGTATACATATTTATATATAAAGAAAAATAAGATAAATGTTGGTTGAAATATTTTATGAGGCACCTCGTAATACCTAAAGACACCCTTGAGTTTTATAACCTTCCCACGGGCTAGAATCACTTGTGAAATCCTTTCTTCTTCCCTCCCTTCTTTACCACCTCTTCTTCCCTTTCATCTTCCCACCTGTTCATTCAGCATATAGTTGTGGAATCTGTAATCTCCAGGAGAAAACATTCAATAACAAGAGTCCTGCTCTTAGTTAACTCAGGTTCAGTGTGGAGACAAATAACATCACCAATAACAACAGCCATGCTGATAACAACAACAACTACTGCTACCACTAATAATAATCCAGAACAATCTGTAAGAGCAGTATGCCCAAGGTTCCATGGGCAGGAACTCCAGCTGAGACTTGGAGCAGCCCCAGAGGTCCAGGGGCGAACAGACATGGACAGCTGTACAGACAGCTGTACACGAGGGAGCATGGCATATTCTAGAAGCACACTTAGCTCCAGTGAGCCGGGGGAGCATGAGGAGACTGGCCCAATCATGAGGGGTGCGTGCCCTGCCTAGGAACTTGTGCTTTGCCCTCAAAGAGAAACATGTAAAATATCTGCAGCAGTTGGGTATGACCTGGTTAGTTCGCATGAGGGACTATGATTTACAGATGAAAATGGGCACATATATATTTAATCTTTTATGTTACTGAACAAAAACCTAGATACAGATGTTTGCTAGGGCCCTTTTAAGAAAAAACTTTAAAGAAGTAACTATAGTACAAAGAAACCCACTCCTGTATTGCAACCGCAAAGTAACACATCCTCTCCAAAACAAAGAAATTGGAAATTCCACCAGCCCCTGTATTTCCATGTATGGACATAGTGTTCTTTCTTCAACAATCCTACATAGATTGGTTCTGAAGTATGAATAGGCAGGACCTGACTTTTTATATCTTTCCTATTCTCAAGTCTAAAAATCCCTGCATATGGGTAAAGCTTACTTAAATCTAACTTCATACTTCTTGCTGTAGTATGAGCTCATATTTTCATATATTTTCAGTAGGGAACTCTTGACTCCTGCCCTCCATATAGCTGAGGAATGTAATTTAATTTTTTCAGCTTGCACTGTTCTGGGCTTTCCCCAATTCTCAAGCATTTTTTTTTTTTTTTTTTGAGATATCACCTTCCAATCTCATCATCTATATGCCTGCCATGTAGACTCGTCAAGTTCTTACAAGTCTTTGTGAAACACATTGTCTAAAGCGAAGCAGTGGAGGCATACAGGAGGTAGTATAGAACATTCCAAGTTCTACATAGAAATGAGACTAGAGTATATGCACTTAGAGTTGAGGACCATGTCCACAGTTATGGCGAGGAGTCTTCTAAGGTCTGGGAGAGAGAACCAGGATACTCGTGTGGAGCTTCCATTCTTTAATTTCCATGCTGTCCACCACTCCAGGACCAACTATTAGTGTGTTAATTGCTTAATGTCTTAGCTTAAGTAAATGCACCAAGTGGACTGAACAGTGATACTCAGCATTACATAGTACAGCGTTTGACGCCTTAGAATCCTTACTAGAGTCTGCAGAATTAGAGTGATGCTGTGGTTGGGATTTGGGTCCCTGATAAGAGTGGTAACCAGGGTCCCTTAAGTGGGGCTTATCTGAGTCCCAAATCTCACTCTGTTGCATTTTAGGAAGTTTCCAGTTTGTTTTTTTTTTTTTTTTTAAGATTTATTTATTTATACAAGCACTGGGTACAGTCAGAAGCGCGGGAGGGTGAGAGAATTCACCAGAGCCAGAGCTGGGAACAGAACAGGCAGACTGACGAAATACACTGCTGAGGGGAGCAGCGGGCGGCAGGAGAGGTCTGCGCGCCATGTGGGACCCTCGCCCGGCGGCCAGGAATGGACCGGCGCTGCAGAGGCTGTGGGCAGCCTCGCAACCAACCCAGCACTCAACCGCTGAGCCACCGGGGAGGCCCAAGTTTCCAGTTTTTTAATGTCAAAAGTTAACTGATCCCGACATAGAAATATGAAAAGTCAAATGGAAGATGAGCTGACCTAGAAGAGAATAGGGATCATTCTTGAGTTGCAAGGCTGCCTTTTTCATCTATTGACTGCCTGGACCAGGTGGTTCAGCTGTGCTCAGTTTCCTCTAGTGTAAAGAGAAGGCCACAGTATTTTGTTTCCAGAATTACTGGAGAGATTTAGAAACAACACATGAATAGTGTTTATATGCCAGGAATATAAATAGAGGATATTGTCATCATTTTTCAAATTACTTTCCTTAATATTCTAATCTAATAGTACTTATAAATGACTGTTAATTTGTTGATGAAAACAGTGTTAAGTGCTTCTTAGCTACAATGAGCAAGCAGCAATTTTTCTGTCAGTTGAGAATTTTGTGTGTGAGAAGGGAACCCCTGGGGAAAAGAATGCCGAGAAAAGCCGATTAGGTCAACAAGGCCAAGCCATGGTTACCTGTTATAAGGTGTGGAAAAGGTTGCCAGGACAACATCACGGCCATTAATACGAATCACATCGGTCACGGCCTGCAGGATGTTGAAGTAGAAATGCGAGTCTCCCGGCACGGAGCAGTTGAGGCGCGCCTTGAGGAAGGATGTCCACTGCTTCTCCAGGACTCTCTGAGACCCACCCATGTCGTTCTTACAAACCTGAGCCACTCTCGGGAAAACTACCTGCAGAGGAGCAACACCCAGGGAAAAGGAAATGCATTCGGTTTTCCAGGACCTCTTAGCAGAATTCGCCTTTCTTTGAAAATAGAACCAGAACAACAAGGTGCTTAATTTAATCCCGTGTTTCTAAAATCAGTAGCAAAAAAGAAGGTAGGGGGGAGAGGAACTCAGCCTTGCAACAGCATGTTTTAAAAGATAAGGCTGTGGCATTTAATCCAGAGCTATAAATCCTTCAGGGGATCCGCTCCCAGCCACATCAACTCATTTCCATACAGACTGCTTAGCTTTTTATTTCCTCAAACAAAAGCACATTTTGTATGCGCCTCGCTGCCATCCTCGAGAACTGCCTCCGGGCCCCGAATCTCATATTCTGAATTCTTCTAACTGTGTGAGCCACCCCGGCACTGAATCTGTGCCCTCAACTTTGTGACCTTGATGCACTCACTGGTGAAAATAACGAAATGGACTAAATCCACTAAGTGTTCGATGGCTTCTTGGAATAAAGAGAAAAATTAAGAATCTCTGTTTGCTCAGAGATACAGGGTATTTATTACCTCTCTGGTGGGGGACCAAATTAAAAAGAGAAAAAAGACTCTTGAAGGTATCTGGGAACCATACCTCAAGAGAACACAAAACTCGCTATGAAATCAACCACACATCTGTCAGTTAAATTCTCAATAGAAATGCTTAAGAGGGAGCTAAGAAGAATGCATACAGGATTCTGAGGGCCACCAATACGTGGCTGAATTTTCTCACAGTCATGACCTTGATCCGGTACCCATTTCAAGACCATGCACAGTAACTGGAGGCAAAAGCGAGCCTGGCCCCTCTTACCTTCCCCATGGTGTTGTACTCCACTGCTATTTCCCTGAAGAAGAAGTAGATGTAGTTTCCATAGTCCACTGCTTGTACAAAATACGGTTCTGTGGACAAACGGGTGCTTTAATTGGAGACATGTCACACAGAGTTAAAGGAACTTCAATCAATTGCGACCCAAGACATGTTATTAATTAAAAATGTAGGGCCATTAGACATTTGCTTAACACCAACCATTTCTAATGACTTCACACAGGCAAGTACTGGTGATTTCAGAGAGCATTCAAGCCTACAAATTATATCTTTCAGAAGCAGTTGCAATTAACAATGAAGAATAAATGAGCTTTGCATATCTCTGTAATTTTATTTTCCACAACGGAATGCACATATTACAGAAAGGATTTTGTACACATCTCCTCGTCTACCCTGACTCATAGAAGGTCGTGAATAGCTTTTTTTTTTTTTTTTCCCTTGCTATTCCCCACCACCTCCACTCCCCCGATTGCTTCCATGAATGAAATGTTCAATTCTCTTTATGTGGGATTCTGAAGCCACAGTTTAAGGCAGAGAAAGATGAATATAGTGTTTCCTGTTGTACTGGCAGTGGTGATCGTTTTGTTAATACTGCAGAAACTCACAGGAAGTTGAAAAGGGAGGTAAATAAATCAGTGGAGGCAAAAGATGCAATTTCCACCTTCCTGCTTGCCAGAGGCCATTACTAAAAAATTCACCTATAGTCGGGTCCACCTAAATCTCCCCACTTCCCCTCTTTCTCTCTTTTAATTGTTTGTTCACCTTTCAACCATTTTGAATCGTGCTTGACGGTCCGTAGGGTTGGGCTGTCTCCAAGACTCCGGTAAATGACTGCATCGATAGCAAGGAAGTCAGTCACTGTGGCCGAGTAGAGTTTTCCATCTTAGAAGTAAAAAGAAAAGGGGTGAATGGGGAGGGAGCAAGATGGTGGGTGTGAGGGAATAATAAAGACATCCCCCAGATTGCTTTCCTGCGCCAGGCAAATGAGATAGGACAATTGGGGAAAATCCAAGAGTCACTGGGAAAATACTTGGCCCACATTTCTAACCATTTTAAATTGGGATCATGAGAGATGAAACATTTTTCATTTTTAAATTGCATGGCAATTTCTAAGCAGCAGCAGCAGCTCGGGGAACAGGGTAAATGAAAAATGGTGTGTGCTTCACTTGATTAGATGGACCTTGACTGAGAGCTCAAGGCCAACGTCCCTTGGACACTGCTACTGCCCACCACACCATGGTAAAGTGGATTAGGTGGGAGCCCAGGGAGAGATGGCAGCTGATTTGTATCACCAGAAATTTTAAGTATAAGCAGAAGGAATGGAGTCTTCAGCCAGAGCAAGGTGAGCGGAGGGGTTGGGAGAGAGGATCATTAGCAAAAAAAGAGCAGGTGATATTGCTACTGATACCCAAGAATCAGTCACTCATGAGAGCCACTAAGCCATGCCAATCTAGCTTGAATCAGACACATTTGCTCCAGTGTTTCCAAAGTCATGAACTGAAAGCATTCTGATAAACGAGATGCCGAGACAGAGAAATAAGGGGAAGGAGAATGCTGAGTGGAAACTGGGTGTGCTTTAGGGGAGATATGCTTGAGGGGACAGTAATATCCCCTTGGGACTGCCAAGGCAAAAGAGAGCAAAGGGAATTAAGGATTCAAGGGTCCTTTCCTGCAGTAGCAAAATTCTGTGCACAAAAAAAAAAAAAAAAAAAAAAAAAAATGTTCTAGAATAGTGAAATCTATTTAGATGACACCAAAACAAGAATTATGTTCGAAGTAAAAAATGACTTCCTTAGGTCATTTTTATTTATTTTTTTAATTTTTTTTGAAGATTTATTTATACAAGCACAGGGTACAGTCAGAAGCGTGGGAGGGTGAGAGGATTCACCAGAGCCAGAGTAGGGAGCAGAACAGGCAGACTGACGAAATACACTGCTGAGGGGAGCAGTGGGCGAGGCAGGAGAGGTCTGTCATGCCATGTGGGACCCTCATCGGTGGCCGGGGATCGAACCGGCGCTACAGAGGCTGTGGGCAGCTTCGCAGCTCAGCGCTAATGCTACGCCACCAGGGGAGGCCCCTTAGGTCATTTTTAATGGTTGCATAGCTTCATTATTTGTGTGTCAAAGTGACTTATATATACCATTTAAGCTCTTCCCCTTGTGTGTGGCATAAGCATGTTGTTTTTTTTCAAGGAGCTCGTCCAGATATACGTAAGCAAAGTTCTTGATGTCTACTTCTGGTATTAGGGTCACTGGAATTTACTCAGGCTCAAGTTAGAACTGGTTGATAGCCATATATTAGTAGGTGTTGATTGTGTTGATTAGATGGAAACTGCAGGCAGTAAACCTTTCTGTGTGTGTGTGAGTGTGTTTTTGTGTTCCCACTTACTCCTCTGCAGTATTTTTTGTTTTATATCCTGCATTTGTTACCTCACCAGAACTTCTATTTGTAAAATAGAGCACCATTTTGCCACTTTTGCTAATGATGACAACTATTCAGTTGCAGCAAGTATCTTCTATAAATAAGGACTGAGCTTTTATGAGATTTCAACCATGCCAAAGAAAAACTACTGAAATATACCATGGGCAGGGAGGGGCAGGCACAGCATTGTCTCTGGCTTGTTCTGTATAGCTTCTGGAAGGCTGGTGTCCTTAGGAAGTACTTCTCCCTGTTCTACCTCAGGCTACAAGTCCTCTTTTGAGTTTGCAGTTCAATTTAAATTCTCCACTGCAGCCCGCATCCTCCAGGGTACCAACTAATGCAGGTTCAAGTGTCAGAACAGTGCAATGGTGGAAGTTATGCACTTGAGAATATATTCAAGTACTCTTCCTACTGGCCTAGCTCCTGCCCTTGCTGACAAAGAGGTTTACGAGACTCTATTTCTTACAATGCTGCTTCCCAGTAATTCTGTGCTCTCAATTCCAGGGAGGACCCAAGCAGCCTTTTCCTTTTAACTGGCTACAAGCCATGTCGACAATCTGTGGCCACAGATTCAGGTTCACAGATGGATGACACATGTTGAGTGCAAAGCAGTTTGAGGAGCTAATCTTGTTTCATCATCAAAGCCCTAGAGTTCCTCATCCAGCGAGGATGTACCAGTTTTTAGCTGTTGTGATGGAATTTTAGCTAACTGCTTTATTATATGCTATAGCAATCACTATTATACCAGCACTTCTCTCTCCACCCACCTCCACATACACAGCTGGCAATGAATTCCTAAATAACTTCCTAATTAAAACACACACACACTTGAAAATGATGGCTTACTTGCTGCTGTGTTTTTATCCTTTGCAGTGGAAGGCGGGTGGGAAGGGGGTGTGTGGGTAAAATTAGTTGATCAGTATCATCCCCTAGGTCACTACAGTCCATCTATCAGAGACAGGCGTGTCACCTCATCAGGTCAATAACACTGATGAAGATGTTTGTTGCAAATCTGTGGGTATGTGGCCTCGCTACTCTCAGAGCTTCTAGAAGCTTCCTTTTGTGTCTTTCCTTCTGCCTTCTGTGTGTGGGCAAGTAATCAGAGCTGTGCTTGGGGTTGGCAGCCATCCTATGACTGTAGAGCAGCAAATCCCACTGAGAGAAAGGAGTGAAAGAGCAGAGACGTGAAAAGGAACTCATCCTGGATATTATCACTGAGTTGTTGAACCAAAACCACCTGAAAGTCTACCCCACCTTAAGTAATAAATCCACATTGTGGGTTTGAGGTGGAATTCCTGTTATTTGAGCCCAGACATGGCCTCACTGATAGATCACACATTCAGCACAAAGCTGTTATCCTTTCTGAAGCCACAGATGCATGGGTAAGGGTGGCAAAGACTCCTTTTTAAGAAGCAAAAGTACAATTTCCATACTAACTTCAAATGGAAAAGACATTCTTAATTACAGTATTCACCAGAGACTCAAAGTACAACTGTGACTCTGCGAATTCTCCAGAGCAGATTCGCAGTGACAGGCTAAGCACGCAAAGCAAAAGCAACCAGGAGAAATCAGGTCATTTACCTGCAAACAGTGCAACGTTGGCATGTTTGGCATCATAAGGGCATCTGGCCATTCCACTAAATTCATCCCCAAAAGGTTCCAAAGTATCCATCTAAATGAAATAATAGCACTTAATTAGGAACAACCACCAACATTAGTAACAGCAGCAACTAATATTTATAAAGCACTTTATGTGCTAAGCAATTCCAATGCAAGTAATCCTCAAATACTCTTGAGATAAACATCTTGGTTTCAAATGAGGAAAATGATGTCTAGAGAGACTGAGTCACTTGACTGAGGTTCTACAGCTCAGGTCTGAATTCAGTCATGTCTGATTGATTCTGCGCCATTCTAACAAGTAAGATCCCCGTAGCCTTTGGAATGATCTAGAATTAAGTGTCTTCTTGGGAAAGGAATTTCTGAGGCAATCATGGGGAAAACTTACTCCTCTTCCTCTGTTGCTCCCTCCTGAATTATCTGTTGAGTCATAAGCCCTATAGAGAATGACTTCAGTTTTGGTTTTGTTTTGCTGAGGAGTCCTGTCTTTGTGGGGTAAATCCCAGAAGAAGGCACTGGAATTTTGCCTTGGGTTAGCTGGCAAAACAGTATGGCATCAACTGCCAGATCTCAGGTGGCCTTCTGCACTTCAGAAATGTGTTGGCGTCTCACATGGTATGGATGAGAAAGAGGAGCTCAGAAGCTGAGGCCTTTGCACAGGTCAAAGGTAACGAGGCGTCAAAGGTATCTGACGTCTACCTATTGGTGCTTACCCCAGACCTCGTTCCTATATGTTAGAGGTTGTAATTCAGTTTTATTTGGCCATCATAGTGCATTAAAACAATAAAAAAAAAAAAGAAGAAAGAAACTGATGCTGATTTCATCAGGGGAGATTGTACATGAAAACTTGGATTTCTTGCTTCTTCTGAACAAGTGGGAAAGTCATCTCAGCCCTGTCTTACCTAAGGGGCGTGACGAGCTGTAGTGAAGGCAACAAGTGTGGTCTCCAGCACCAGGGCCCTTTCACCCACTGACTATATCTATGCCCTGCTTGCTTTGCTCCTGCAGGTTACCTGCCTGGTCCCAGAGGCATTACAGGTGGGGCAAGGCCTTGCTAGATGTTCACAAACTTCCACTTCCTTTTACTGCAGATCACACTAAGCTACATCATCCATCTTCCCTGGCAGTCAGGTGTGATCCCATCACTAGCTGGGTCAATGGAATGTAAGGCTAAGGCCAGGCACCTCAACATCATGCAAGCATCCTACCAGAGTTTTCTCTCTTCCCACATTCCCTTCCTAGATACAGAAGTTCCAGTGGAGATTTCCTAGACTAGTCATAGAGAGGGTATAGGCATGAGCAGGATGGAACTGTCATCAGAGGACACAGCTCTCACTGACCCACATTCACTGTTGTGGGTCTATTCTATTGGCAAATGACCCACAGTAGGCGGAGGTCGACTGATCTGTGGGGTACGGCAGGCTCCCCACTAATGTTGTTTTGTCGGACGCTGTTTCATTACAACGTGGATGTGAAAAGCAAAATCTCAGGCAATGGTGAATGAAACGTCATCATTCTAGCACCGGCTTCCTAAGACTTTTCGCTTCAAGTTGTAGTTCAGGAAGCTGCTGTCCATGCTGACTGAGGACTCCCTGCCCCCCTGCCTTCTTTCCTTCCTTACACCATGGGACCCCCACAGAATATAAAATCACAGCTCCTCGGGTCCGTAAACTGATCTCTCCATCACTCATGGTTCTACAACCTTCTGTGATTCGATCTTCTTTACAGTTTTTGGGTATTTTGTTTGCCACCTGGCAGCTACGCAGTTTGACTGGAGATCTGAGAACTGGTACTGAGGCTGGTCCATGGAAAGGCCTTTAGCACTAAAGTCAAGGTGCTTTGGGCTATCACCCAAGAGGAAGGAGCAAGTTTCTATCTGGGCAGTCGTGTTGTCTAGTCAATGGTACCTGTTGTTCTAAATTCCCAGACACCATTTTTTCAGGGATGAGATGGTCCCTTTTCTGGTGATCAGTTTGATGTGGTCCCCACTGAAGCCACTCCATTTGTTTAAACTGTTATCGAGACTCATATAAAGTTGTTAACATTAAAAAACATTTTAGGCGAAGATGTTCAAGTCATATATCCTTAAAGCAAATTTACTCTTCTCCCAGCACATTTTTATGAAAAGTCTTTTTCTGATATTTTATCCCAACAAGAGCTTCTTGTTGAAATGTGACTGATTTTGTGGTCTGCGGATCAGGCAAAGATTCAGAAGGGATCTTAGGATGCAGCAAAGCAAAGTAAATGCCCTTATCTCCACCAGTGTATTCTGTGGTCCTGGCAGTGGGGAGACAGTATACAAGGGGGATCTGTAGTTTTAAATGTACCTGCTTCTAAAAAGTGGCCACAGCAGTGGCTAGTCCGAGGCAGGAAGAAGCGAAGAATTAAAACATTGGTTTGTGAGTTTGGAGAGGTCCGGGGACAAAGCAATGCCCAGGTGAACCCTGTCTTCCATGAAATTAGAACTAATCCTTGTCATAGTCGTCAAATCTCAGATGTAACAGCAGCCCCCAGGGCATTAACTCAGCACAAAGTACAGGTAATTGTAGGAAGGGCCAGTCTGACTTTTGCAGAAGTTCAAGAGGTAGCAGGAGGGAAGAGGTAAGAAATGTAGCTTGAGATGTACAGTGGGTCGCCTACAGAATTGTTCCCCAGATAATCTTATTTAGGGCACTCCTCTCTAGCACATTCGCCTACTTCCATTAGAAAAGTTGTATCAATCAGGGTTTGATGGGGAGGCAGAGACTGAAAATTTGTCCCCCTCCTGCTCAGGCTGGTCTAATCAATTTAATGCTTCTTGGAGTGTGAGACTTGAGCTTTTCTTTTTTCTTTTTTGATTTATTTATTTATTTATTTTTAAGATTTATTCATACAAGAACTGGGGTACAGGCCAGAGATGCAGGGGGTGAGAGGATTCACCAGAGACAGAATGGGGAGCAGAACAGGCAGACTGACTGAAATACACTGCTGAGGGGAGCAGCGGGTGAGACAGGAGAGGTCTGCCGCACCATGTGGGTTTCTCACCGGCCGGCCAGGATTGAATTTGTGCTGCAGAGGATACAGACAGCTTCGCAGCGCTGCGCTCAACCACCTGTGCCACCAGGGGAGGCCCAGACTTAAGTTTTGTTTTTTTTTTTTTTTAATATTTATTTATCAAGCACTGGGTACAGTCAGAAGCGCGGGAGGGTGAGAGAATTCACCAGAGCTAGAGTGGGGAGCAGAACAGGCAGACTGACAAAATAGACTGCTGAGGGGAGCAGTGGGCACGGAAAGAGAGGTCTGTGCACCCAGACTTGAGCTTTTTGATGGAAGATGGATGTTGGGTTTTGCTTGGAACCTTTGGTCCTAATCCATGATACAGAGTACTTAAGAGAGAGGCTGTCCGTTCTCCCTGCAGTCAAGTAAAATGCACCATGTCTGGAATCATGCACAGTCCCTCTGTGCCTGTGTCAAAAGAACTTTCCTAGTGGCATCAAGGGTTTTTTCTATCATTCACAGTGCTGGGCATACAGATGGGGACTGCATGGGGAGAACATCCTGTCTGTGGTTTCTCAGGGGCCCAGGCTCCTGGCACATGGCTCAGCAGGTGTGGCTAGAACAAGCAAGAGGTGAAGGAGTCACTACAGGTGAGGCGTCTGGGGGATGGAACCCCAGGCAGGAAGCAGGGGCTGGATCACAGGCTGCCTGTGTATTGCTGTGCCAGGCAAACCTGCAATTTGTCATAAAAGATAGCTTTCCAGCTAGGGATTCTTGCGATGTGTTGGAAGCATTAATCTTAATGAGTCCTAAACAGTGACAAACAAGGATGGAATGTTAAGTGGGAGAACTGAAGTTGGGACCTCAACAAATGCTGTTCCCGGTGAATGTGACTAGTGGATTAGACCGGCTGCTTAGGTTGGAAATGGTTAGAAATGGAAGGTTCCTATCTTGAGTCATCACTTCAGTATTTTATGACAGGATTTTCGACATGAACTTTGATTTTTAAAACAAAAACATTTATCTGGATTACTGAAATTGGGGGGTGGCCCCTCACAGTAGGAGCCTGAGGCAACTGCCCCACGTGTCCCAGCCTAATCCTGGCCCTGCCGCTGCTAGTTCCCAGATGAACTACTGCTACTCTGAGGAAAGGCAGAGTCTTTTAAAACTGTCACACCCAAGACTGATTCTGATATCAGCCCATCTTTACTTTTCTCCGTCTTGATACTTCACGCAGAGGTGAAGGATGCTTCAGTTTATGCCAATGAAACCCACATCTATATTTCTACCCGTGTCTCCCCTGCCTCAAGAGGCCTGCTCATCCGTCTTCCTGTGGACATCTCCATGCGTGTCCCAGACATCTCCACTGGCGTCTGCACGCTGGGCACACAGTGTGCAGCCTGGGCCCTTTTCCCCACACCCCCAGCCCCCCTGCATTCCATTTCTTTCCTGCTAAATTGGTGGCAGCCCCATCCATCCACTCACCCCAGAGATAGCCCGCCTGTCATTCTAACGCCTCTTCTCCTGCGCTGCTCATCAACCATGATTCGTACTGTTTTTGTCACTTAAGGATGTCCTGACTCTACTCTCTTCCCTTCGCCCCTGGGGCCATAGTTCTCTCCAGTCTCATTTTTGTTATCATGTTGTCACTCTACAGTCCAGCACTTGAGCACCAAATGGCGTTTCTCCAGCTCTACGGGGTATGTCTGACTCACTGCCTTCGCTCATGCTGTTCCCCCTACCTGGAAGGCCCTTCTCCCTCCATTTGGCTAACTTCTTCTTCATGACCAAGATAAGGCATTATCTCATCAGAAATACAATGGCGCACCTCTCTGGGAGGGGCCTGTCAGGTTCTAGATGATCTGGGACTCTGGGCTGGGGGTGATTATGCTCCCTATGGAGGAGTGGCTGGGAATGTCAGTGAGGTGTGCTGTCTCCCCACTCAGGAAGCCTTTCCTGATGCCTCCTCTCAGGCTAAGTCCTTCTCTGTTGCGCTTTCATAATCCTCTGCATACATCGGCATGGCAGCGATGCCATAGAGTTTCTTCTCCCTCTCGGACGCCCCCAAAGGTGGAGGCCTCCTGTTTGTCTTTATAACCCCAAGCCTGGTGTTGGGAGAAATGCAATATGCATTTCCTGAATCAAAGACTGTGGCTGACAGGGATGAGGAAAGCTAACACATGTGGAGCCAGGAGCTTGCATCGCAGCCACCCCTCCTCTGCAGCAATGCTCTATTGCTGCATCGCAACTAACCAGCTGCATCAACTCTTTAGCTGTTACCTTTTCACCCCCTGCATCAAGACCAAGGCAAGTAAGGCCATGGGCAAATTAGCTGAGTGCTAGATGGAATGAAATTTCTTTGTTTGTAAAAAACCTCACCTCGATAGTTTAGTATAGTTTCCAATGGCATGTTTTTGAGATGCCTTTTAAAATAGGAATCATGCAGGATATAAGTGTGCTTTTGTACTCAGAGAGGAGATGGTGGGGTAGGAGAGAGGGAGAAAGCGAGGGAATCCACATGGCATATGGGGTAGGCATGTTGGAATTCTGAACAATAAAGAATAGGGTCTTGTAGAAATGGCCTTTATTGGGCAGGCTCTTCAAAGATCTGTCAATCAATCCTGGACAATCAGGAAGCTCAGTAGCCTGCTCAGAATGGCTCATGTGGACCAACACGTTCAGGGGGACAAGCGAGAGGAACCCAGGGGTGTTTGATCACCCCTCTTAGGTTGCTGCAGGCACAATCACAGCCATTCATGAAATACCTCCTGGCCGGGTGGTTCCAACAGAACAGTATTTACCTTATAGTTTCTGCAGGAGGGGTTGAAGGCATTAGTCCCACAGACAAACAAGGTATCATCATTTTTCTTTAGAAGAACTTTAATAAAGTTGTGACATTCATCCTGAAAAATAAGTCAAACTTTTTTGTATCCAGTCCATTCAGTGCAGAAGCCCCTTCTAGCCCATCTACCATGGTCAGCTGACAGCAAGGTTTGGGGGAATGTGGCTGAGTGTCTGCCTATTCAAAGCTCAGGCTCCTGCTGATATTAACCAGAAGATGATGTTGACAAGAACAATTGCTTTTGGAACAATAAATGGGAGCATGGCATAGAAAGGAAGCCTGTGTGTTTATGCACAAAAGGAAGGCAAGCCTGGGAGAGCCAACCTCCCATCATATTAATTTTAATGCCAGATGCTCCAGGGTCCCCTGAAGTAAAAGGCTCCTGGCTGAAGTGTGTGTTTGTGTTGCGGTATGACCGAAGGCTCAGCCCCCTGTGTGTCTACTGCAGGCTTTCCCGAGCACTCCCACAGACGCCCCCCCACCCACGAGTGCACTCAAAAGATTGGGGGGCAGCCAGCTTGGTGTCCATAATCCCCAGTGTCCCTAAGGAGTTCACCACAACGCAGCCCTCGCAGCTGTCGTCATGTTTCATCACATTAAAAGCAAACTATTTTTGCAAATTAAAGCCCTCAATAAGTTGATGGAAAAAGCAATTACTGGGGAAAAAGGAACAAGCATGAACCATTCCACATCACGGTCCACAGCTAGAGATAAGAGCCCAGAACTTAACCCAAAGTGGCAGCTGCAGGAGAAATGGAAATTGCCTACCTTATGTTTTCCCTTCATTCTGCATGTGTCTACATCAGCCTGTCTAGATTTCCACGTCAGTTTCTGCAGGGATCAAGAAAGAAATCAATGAGAGTCCAGAGGTGGTTGCGTTTGATTTGAGAAATAAGAGTTCCCTTGGGGAGAGCAGAGGCTGAACATATATTTATTGAAAGCTTTCTGCACCCTTTCTCCATGATTAAGTCACCCTAACAACAGAAGAGAAGAGAAGGGAATGTTCATTTAATTTTGAACTCCTCTCTATTCATTAAACTCCAAAATGATCTTTTTCTCTTTGAGATAAAGATGAAGGAGGAAGGAAAGAAGAATAAACAACAGCGTGGAAATTTCACATGAGGTATCCAAATTGGCTGGCGACATATTTTGCTCATTTTGATAAAAAGCATGTCTTTGGCCTTGCCTTTCATTTGATGAATCAACTTTCATAAAGCGGTCTTTTTCCTTAAAATATGGAAGTCATTTTCTTAAACATAAAGGGGACATTCACTTTAGGTGGACAAAGATTTAATTCAGGTTGGGTTCCTTCGCGTAAATTCATGGACCGAAGGAATCGTCTACTTCTGTGGCAGATTTTAGTAACTAAACTACCTCCACGTGGTGTTAGAAGGGAAGCTTAGGTTATACTTTATGTGTGCCTGAAAAAGATAATGATCAAATTCCTGAATCACAGCAGTCAAATCAAACTTAATACAGCAAGACGTGGAAACATAACAATGAAACATTTCTGGGACAAACTTTAAACATAGGAAAATTGGAATTTTCCTGGACAAGTATATTTTATATTTTAATTATTTAATTATATCATCTATTATAATGCATATTATATTTTAATATTTTATTAAAGGAATTTAAAGAATGATTTAAAATTCTAACGTGTGTATGCACACATGTTCAATGAATAAAATATGAAGTGCCTGACTGTGAACATGAATTAAGCCCCAACTTATTCCCAAATTAGGATTTCACAAAATCTCCGTAATTATTATGAACCATGTCATCTCAACCAATGCATTTAAAATATGTATCATCTTCAACAACTATTCAGTCTTTAATTTCAGAGGGATGGTTTTAAAGCTACTTACTTTGCTACAATAAATTTCTTCTGTATGTGATGTGTCTATATCAACAGTATAAATATGGTCCCTGTAAACAAAGAAAAATTAATACAGTGTCAAACACAAGCGTCAAGATAGTTCATTTTCTCCTGAATGGGCATGTCTGTTTCATGGCAGATAAATCCATATCACACTACTAAAAAATAGGACATCCACATGCAAAACAAAGGGACCATTTCAGTTGTGAGACATGCTTTTAGATCACATTGAGCACCTTCTAATATGGTGGCATTTGCTTTAATTTTTTTCCGGGGGGCAGAGGGGTGGTTAACAGATACTTTTAGTGACCACAGTCCCATAATCTCTCTCCTGCCAGATTTCTAACATCTGTATATTTGTAGCTCAGGGGCGAGGACTCTGGAAGTTCAACTGGCCCCCAAACCAGGACGCATATGGGTTCACCTGCCATTTCAGCGTCTTCTTATCCAACCCAAACACTTGGGATTCAACACGCCACATTTGTTCATGAAGGGGGCCCAGAAGAAAGCAAATCTATCTCCATCTCTCTTTGGAAAATATATTTTCAGCCTCAGCTTTGATGGTTTGATTGACAAGATGGGAGATGATAAAGGTAAAATTATTTCCAGAAGCCACTCTTTTCCTCACACGATGATGGTCCATTACGGTCTAAAATGTACTTGAGCTAAAGTTTACATTTCTTGCTTCTGTTCACCTTCCTGTTTTGCTGAGAATTCGGTTGCCTTTACAATTTGCTGCCAATCTCCCCCTGGAAGGGGAGAAACAGAATCAGCAGCTCAGGTGTGGGGCTATATTTAAACATCCCCTTCTGTGTGAGCTGAGTACAAGGGCGTTTTTGTCTGGAATTCAGAAGAAAGAAAAGAAAAAAGTACACTCAACTGGGGAGATGAGGGGCTAGAAAGGGAAAGCAAAACAGCTCATTTTCCCTTGAAATAACATTGACTTTTTCTAAAATGCAGGAAGTCCTGGGGCTGGAAATTACCCACAGCTTTAAACCAGGATCTCAAGGCTCCTGTGCAGACTTTCAAGCCCCCTCATGGCTTAAAAGGAAGTGTGGGGGTGGGGAGAGAGAAGAAAAGAAAAAAGAGAAGGAAGAGAGGCATTATCTGCTGTCAGGATTCCCTTCAATTTTTCTCTCCAGTTCTTTGGAAATCTGTTTGCTCTTGCTTTTAGGGAACGTACAACAGGGGGAAACAAAACAAAACAAGCTGTTTCGGGAAAATACAAAGAAGGGACAAGGCAGTTGACGTACATGACTCCCTTGCCTGCTACTGAACTGTGAGTGTGTGTGCACTCAGGCATGCGCGCTGTGTGTGTCGGTGTGCGTGTATGTGCACACACACGTGTGTGCATGTGTGTCAGGGTGGCGAGGGGGAGAAAGTGGAACTCACTCAATTGAGAAGTTCCTCCCCCTCTGCAGGATGCCAGAACCCTGCCCTTTCATTTCAAGGCAATTTTATTGCATTCATTTATTACTTGTTTGACTTTACTGGCCGTGTGTGGGTCAGGCTCGTTATTGGAATGGAATTGCCTATTACTTTGGTATCGGGTTTGAGAAGACTCCAAGTTGTCTCTTGCCCTGCTTCCCCTTAAAATTTTAAGTAGGAGCTGAATGTATGAATTGTAAATTAACAAGTGATTAATATGCATTGGCAGTTCCTCAGGAACTCTTGGATTGCCCCCTTCTGGCATGACCTGTTTATGTTAATTAGCAGTTTAGAGATTAAACAAGAAAAAGAGAGAGAGAGAAGAATTTATAAAATGGATAATAAAACTGAATTGACAGGGGTTCTTGACATCACACTTGACTCGATCCCCCAGTTTTAGATGGGATTTGGCTTCCAGTTGCTGACACAGACATAGAAAGAACTGGAAACCTTTTAAAAATCGAATTCCGTGACCAAAATCTCTTTTTGGACAATGGTAATCTTTTTTCACTTGTCCAAGAGCTCATTCTACCCAGTAAAGAGAAACAGTGCTCCCCACTAAACCACAGACCAGGGCCGGGGGTGATTCCCAGCCCCCCGTAGTGCACCCCAGGATCCATGCGCTGCTCTTACTGAATGAAGTTATTTGAGCACAAACTGACTTAATCCTAGGACTTCCTCTCCCCGCCTCAGTGAGTGCCACTTAATTGTGTTACCATGGCTTGAGCCTGGGGGAAAGGTTTAACTTTACATCGTGTTACTTGCTGCCCGGGAAGCTGGATCTCGCAGAGAATGTTGGGAAGTGTGGAATGAGAAGGGCAGGAGAGACCTTGAGTGTGGTGGCCATGGCACTCCAGTAGGAAGTTTTCCAAGCGTGTGTATGGGAGGGAAGTAGCTGACTATGGTGTTATAAACTAGATTTTTAAGGAAAGACAAGTCTGGTTTTTTTTTAATTTTTTTTTAAGATTTATTTATTTATACAAGCACTGTGTACAGTCAGAAGCATGGGAGGGTGAGAGAATTCACCACAGCTAGAGCGGTGGGGCAGAGCAGGCAGACTGATGAAGTACACTGCTAAGGGGAGCAGCGGGCATGGCAGGAAAGGTCTGCACGCCATGTGGGACCCTCGCCGGTGGCCGGGGATCAAACCGGTACTGCAGAGGCTGATGGGCAGCTTCGCAGCCCAGCGCTCAACCGCTGCACCACCGGGGAGCCCCAAGACAAATCTGTTTTATAGTTTTAAACAACTGAATGCCTTTCTCCTTTCCTTCCCTCCTATTATTTTTCTTTCTTTCTTTTTTTTTTTTTTTTTTTTTTTTAGGGTAGGGAGTGAGGATAAAACTGTCTTGGCTTATTATCATCTCGGCATAATCATCACTTTTAAATTTGCCCAGCACCTGCATTCCATGCTCTCGCTAACTTATCGGGAACAAGGGCAGTCAGATACACCATTTTATTTTCCCTTCCAGAAAACCAACTGCAAAGTGAACAATTCATAGACGATTCTCAAGTCAACCGATTTCTCAACAAACCCAGTGTTTAATCATTTGTTTTGATCCGCCTTTAGATAATTGGAGACCGATGTAATCTTCCAGCTCTGCTACATTTTGGAAACTAAAAATAGTATTTAAGAAGGAGCTCATATTCTACCAGGATGCTCACTGGGATGCTTTTTAGTGAATACCCACAATGACTAACTATACTCTTGGGCAACTGCTGTTACCAGGACAAACACTACCCACCTTGGCTACTCAGGAGGCTGCAGACTAGAAGGAATAATGACAGGCTGCAGAGCAAGGCCTAGTTCATACCTGGCCTCTGCCATTTTGACCCTATCATCTTACTTCTCTGTACCTTGCTTTCTTCTTATAAAATGTGAGGATAATAACAGTTTCTTCTCATAGGTTTTTCTCCCCATGATTAAATGAATGGACATTTATAAAGCACTTAGAACCATAGTTACAATTTATATAGTACCTGTTACCAGTGTGTGCTGTATAGTATTTGTGAAGTAGAATTTTTAAAGTGTTCTGGCATAGCTTTCTGTGACGAAGAGGGGGAACTGGCACCATATTGGGAGCCAGTTAATGGTCTTACTTTCTGATGCATTCCAGAACATCAGAGTGCGTTGAAAGATTTAAGTGCTGGTGGTGTTCACCTGTGCTTTACCTACGCTCACAGCCACAATGGTATCACAAACATAATCTCAATTTCTTATTCTGAGTATGATCAGGTAGGACCACCGTGGAAACCCACAAAAATAGTGTTCTTTGTCTCTGTTCATTTAGAATCATTTTGAATGAGCCCACCCCACCACCACCAGTGGGGGTTCATATATCATTAGAACCCCAAAGAACTTCACCAGGTCATCTAACCTTTCATTTGACTTATGGTCTGAGAATTTACGGTCCAGGTAAATTAAATGTAGAATTAAAACAAAAGCCTAAATGTATGTGTGACCCCCTTTGGGAGCAGTATTCTTAACATGCTTTTCAGCCTTAAGTCATGACCCATCTAACTGACATTTTTGCAATAGCTGGAGCTTTGTTTGTCTTTTTACTAGAATCAAGTAAAAACCTTTTAAAATATTTTAAAATGATGTGTTGGGAGACAACATTGGTTCACAACACTGTGTAGCATTTAGAAGACTAGGTTCACACCTCTTCCCATGTATGTAACCACACCACACCCATCACTGGGACACCAGAATCCTCAGCCCCAGTGTCCTGGCCCCTTCTGGCCCTTCCTATTCAGCTCCCCCCGCCCCCACTCTCCTCTCTGGTCACCTCAGTTTGCTGACAGCTTTCAAGGGTTGGTTGTGCCCATCCCTTTGCTTTGTTTTCAGAATTCCACTAATGAGTGAATTCATCCACAAAAACCCCTCTAAAATGGGGGCTTACTGTCATCCTGTTACAGTAGCGACACTCTCTATCAACAGCGAAAATACAAACAGGTCTAATATATATACACACCTACACACACTATATAATACATGGTTACACATTCAACTTAATTTAAGAAAAGTACCCAGGAGAGAAGCACTCGGCTGGGTGCTTGAGTAAATATTTGCATATACGTTCAAGATAAACAGTGGGTTGAGTCTCAGCTCCAAAATAGGCAATTATTTCTACCTACATCCACATTGTTAGACACACACACACACATGCACACACAATCGTGCAAGAATGACAGCCTCTCACACTCAAGTAGCCCTCACATTAAGTAGCATTGAGGTTCTGGGGCACTCGCCGGGGGGGCCACTCACCTAGCAGCAATGTAGAGGGTCCTGTTCATGATCATGATCATCTGGATGTCCAGTCTGTGCCTCTGTGTGGTGTTCCGTCCTGGCTTGTGGCCCACAAACACCGGATACTGTTTTGTATCTGTGAAAAGAGGATATGGGGGCGAGAGGGACAAGAAAATGAAGCCAAGAATTCACAGCAGGGGGAGGACCCCCAGGGGCGGGCTGCAGAACAAAACGCCACTGAGGCCGGACCCTGCCACCACCTTCCGCTTCCACAAGAGTCTGTTATTTCAGAAAACATGGGGATAGAAGAGGGCTCCTTCAGGACCATCGGGTTACAGCTTCATTTCCAGATGACAATAAGCCTGGACTTGCCTGGCGAAGGGTCACTGTTATTGACTTGTCCCTCTTTCTGGGGGTTAAACTTGCGAATGAACCCTTTCCATGAAGGTGTCTTTTCTTCCCGTTTTCTTTTCATCTTTGTAGAGTGCTAAGCCTGAGGGGCAGTCTGCCAAAGATCTTGTCTCGGGACAAAACTATTTCAAAGCAGCCTTCCCATCAATCACCACAAAGGCAATGTGGTCTGGAGGCAAAAGCCCTAGCCCAGGAGCCAGGAGAAAAATACAGTCTCCACAGGCGTCCAGTTGGAATAATCTACTATTGAAGGCAGGCCCCGCTAGGTTGGTTGGCATTCGAGGAACTGTGGGAAGTTCACTCTTGAGTTAAGCAATTGGCTAATCTCACAGAAATGGGGGTTTTGACAGGCCAGGGTCAAACGGAGTGTAGCCAGTTGGGCTATCTGGAATTTTCCCCGTCTTGGAGAGTCAGCGAGCATATTTCTGCTTTCCTGTAGTTCTCCTTGGCTGAGAATGGGCAGTGTGGAATAACATCTGACCTTTAGAAATACCTACATCTCAAAAAGCTCTCTGCCTTTCAACCTACAATCTCCAGAGCACTGGCAATCTTCCAGAGAAACTAAGTAGGCAAGAAAGATGAGTCTTTTTTTTTTAATATTTATTTATACAAAAGCTGGGGTACAGACCAGAGGTGCAGGAGGGTGAGAGGATTCACCAGAGACAGAGTGGGAAGCAGAACAGGCAGATGGACCGAAGACACTGCTGAAGGGAGCAGCGGGCGAGGCAGGAGAGGTCTGCCCCACCATGTGGGTATCTCCCTGGCAGGCCAGGAATCAAACCCGTGCTGCAGAGGCTGCAGACAGCATCACAGGGCGGCTCTCAACCTGTTGTGCCACCGGGGAGGTCCAAGATGAGTCATTTTTTAAAGGCAAGTGTTTGGGGGTAAGGAAGGACTTGAAAACCATTCACACATCGATGCTCAGATCCTGTGCTGTAAACCCTGAGAAGCTGAGCATCATTCCTGGTGAGGATCTTTCTCGAGAGCTCAGTTTGTTGAACAGTCAACCTTGGTGTGGGATTGTCTTGTGGTTTCTCCTTCACTGCGCTGAAATTTCACTTACCCATGATTGAGGAGCTGGCTAAAACAAGTCATGTTTCTCTGCTGTCAGGGGTTTGAGTGTCTACTGAAGTTTAACTTTTCAGAAGCACATTTGGGCTGGGATCTCTTCTGTACTGGAGCACCAAAGCCAGAATATCTCTCTCAAATAGAGAAAAAGAAATGCTCCTTAAGGTGTGGTACTTTGGGTTTGGTAGACACTGTCGTTTTAAGAATGATGCAGTTGCCACCAGCATTTGGTCTGCAGTCACATCCTCTGGTGGTTTTATGTCGACCACCTCATCGTCAAGCCACATAATCTCCTTATCCAACCCAGAACATTCAGCAGAAAGTTGAGAGTTGATGGATCTTGCTAGTGCCAGTTATTTGTGTAAAATACCTCCACTATGTAGCTTGTTCAGAGCTTGTTTTGGGATAGCTACTAGGAAAATCGCTCTTTGGGGAAAAGGTTCTCTTTCACCTTTACTGTGATATTTTGGCTTTTGAAGGGAAAAAGTAGTAAATCAGTTGTTTCATCCTACTCGCGGGTAGGGCTTCCTCTTTTGAAGAGCAAACTGAATTCTTAACATGTTGCTTCCTACTCCAGAATGAAGCAGAGACTTGTTATACAGTTAAAATAGGATCTCTGTGAATTTAAAAAATCAGTCTATCCAAGTCTAGCAGTGATACAACTTGTAAGTTTTCTAAAAAGTTAATCTTTATCTCTCATCCTCCAAAAGAGACTTCATTATTCTCTGTTTGCAGCTTGTAACATCGCCCAGATAGTAATTATGTGTGAAAATGTGCAATACTGGCAAAACCCAAATGCTAGAGATTTTCTCCCAAGCTGGTTTTCAGGCATGATCTTGGCCTCTGTGGAATGAACGAAACTTTATGGGAGGTACTGAGAAACCTCTCACATGCTCACACATATGTGTCCCCACGGCAACACAGAACAGAAGCATGAACCCACATCCCTTCAGTTTGAAAAGACTTAAACTACCACCTTTGCCTTGGACAAGGCAAGAGACTAGATGTCCTATTTTATTAAAATGTTAGTTTTTATGCTTTGCTGGTTCATGCAGGCTAATGTGTCCACAAAGGGCGAGAAGAAGGGCGAGGTGGTGGATACTCACAGTTGCCATGCGAAATACTGATTGGCTCAGAATCTTCTGGGAAACCAGCCCCAGCAAAGTGTAGCAGTGTGAAATATAGCAGCAAGGCTTCTGACCTCATAGTAGTTCAGCGGGGAGACTTTATTTCTCTACTTCACCCTGCCAAAGAGCAAAGAAGGAATTTTTTTTTTTTCCAATTCAGCTATATTTAATTCCATAAAGTGAAATGGCCTTGGAGATCAATTTAAGAGAAAGGGGCCTCCCCTCCCTATCGCTTCCACTGTGAATTCACTGATTATTGTGTTCGATATAAGGAACCTGTGCACCTGAGCCCTTTTGCAAAGCTTCTCCCAAACACGTGACATAGAGAGAGAGGCTTGGTTTTTTGTCCCGAGCCATATTGAGGCCATTGTCAGTGGCTTCTTTATCATAATTATGAAACTCTGAATTCCAAAGAATGTGGACAACTGACATTTTTTAAGGTAAATACTTTTCTTCTTCATAGCAGGTTTATACCAGCATCACGCTTTGCCCCTCCCTGCAAGCCCCAAATGTTTCATGCAGCCAGCCCAGGATCCTCCAAAAATTTTGAAGAGGTTGCCAATATTGAAAAATGGGGTGGTTTGTAATTAAAAAAAAAAAAAATCAGAGTATCTATCTCATACTGACCTAAACAGTGTTTCCTCTCAGGTATCTCCCCCCACCTCTAAAATACACACACACACACACACACACACACAGAGTCTTGAGTCTCACCCCTGGTTTATGTAATTCTACAGTGATCTTTGAATCAAATAAAATCACACAATCTGGGTTTAAAAATAACCATACGCTTTCAGATACTATGAAGAATACTATAGGGGGAATCTGAATTCACATCCTGAAGTGATATTGTTGATTTTTTTAAAAGCAGATCTCTGTATATTTTAGTCTCAAATGTCACCTCGCAATGAAACAGTAGTGAATAGACGCGCCAGATACACAGTTCTACCCATCTGTGCTTTTTTAAAGATGCTCTTTATGTGTAGAAAAATTCTCCTAAATCTTAGAAGTAAAAGCAGCCCCACGCGGGGCTTCTGGATACAGTGAAAAAAGACCTGTAATATAGTAAACACCTCATCACTCTCAGCCATATTTCAAATAAGTGTTGATCTTTCGGGGAAATTAATGTAAAATGGGGGTATCTTTTCATCTTTCCACTGTAAGTAAGGCCTTTGAAGTAGCCTGCCAAAGAGTATCTTTTTTGAACAAAGCTATTTTCCAGCAGTCTATCAATCATTTAAGATCTGTGCGTAGAAAAGTCAAACTTAGTAACTTAGATGTCTTTGAAAGTTAATTTGGCAAACAAACTGCTAACTTACACTTTTTAGAACACCACTTAATATTAGATACCTATGTCTCTCTTCTCCATGCCAAAAAAAGCATTAACAAGTCCCAAGCGTTGCATCACAACTTATAATTTCACAGACACAGCTGGGTCTTAATCATTTCTTCATTTGGAAAGTGCACATTAATTAATTTGCTTTATCTTGAAAATCAAAGAGGGAGAGAGGTTGAGAGAAAAGCCCCAGCAATCCCCTATCTCCATCTCTGATGTGTAGATTAAAATTAAACTTTAAATGACTGCATGTTCACAAGGGCGAGCCATTACCAAGAGACATAAACAAGGTATTTACAGACAGGTTAGAAGCCACGGTCTATTCATTCATTTGCCAGTTCTTTCTATGCTGGAGGATCTGAATCCAAAGGCAAGAAGCTCGGAGGTACCCCTGTGGGCTTCTCAATGGCTCCTGTTCAGTATAACATTAAAGAGGAGAAATCAATAGCACGAGTAAGTAAACCAAAAACCAGACACCCGTCTGCTGTTACATTTTAGATGAGAGAATGTGTGGGGAACGGGAAGTGGCAGCATTTAGGGAGGATTTGTGAGCAGGACTACAGTCTAATCCAGATGCAAATGGCCTCAGAGAGTTGGCCACGTGCATTGGGCGAATAAGGGAGACTCATAAGGCTCATTTTCTTTGCTTTCGTAACCTTTGGGACTATATGTCTAGTTTTAGAGAGAATTTTTTCCTGACATGACAAATGCATTTCTGTCCTTCCACCACTGCACTCATCTTGTACAAACGTCATACGTGGCTATGAGACAATGTTCTGTTCTATTATTATAGCTCCCGATTTTAATTTTTTGGTTTTAAGATTGCATGGGTTCCGTACAACATTCTCAACCCCAGAAGTTGGCAGAGCGAGCAAAGCATGGCAGCATCTATTATGTAATTCAGTGGCTTGTGTTGGCCCTTGCACAGCCAAGGGCATGGCTGAGTTGGGTTATTTAAATATCTCCTGGTTCACAGGAGGGCTCTGTGCCAGGAAAAGTAGCTGCTTTATGCATGCTCCCACCATCATATCATCAGGTTGGTGACATGTGGTACATCCTGTGGGTGCAGGTGTCCCGGCTCCTCTAGTGCACCATGCCCAGCCCAGGTGAGCCCGTGAAAGTTTTCTTCAGCTGCAGTTGTGATCGCCTCAGCTGAGGACGTGTTACTCCCATCCACTGCCCTCTGAGCGGTAACCCTTGCAGACACATAGACGAGACATTTTCTAATTGAAGTTATACTTTGTAGAGCGATCCCCATTCAATCCCATTGTCCTTCCCTATCCCACAGAAAAAGGACTGTGTCTTCTGCTGGGGCCATTGCTGTGTTGTAGCTTTGCCTCAGCCCAGGAGAACAAAACCAAACACGACCTTCCCACTGAGTTTATGAAATCTTGAGCTAGCTGAGCTGCTGCAATTAAAGAGGTGGCTTAAATAATTTCCAAAACTCTGAAAAGCGCTGCCACATGTGTCATGTTTATAGGGATCTGGAGACATTTGTCCATTTCTCTCCCAGGGATTGTGTTGCTACAGGCTCTGGATGACTTAAGGCTGACCCAGAGGCCCCGAGAATTAGATAATGGGAAGATCGTCAACATGGGGTTTGCAAACAAAAACATTCACTTCAAAAATCAGCTTAATATGCCAGAATTTTCCATCTAAAGGTCTCATTCTTTCACTCGTCTTACTTAGCCTGAAAAAAAAACCTGGCCTTTTTAAAATATGCTACCGCTGTTGTTATAATCCTCTTCTTCCCCCAGCCCACAAAGTTCATGAAAAACCTTAAGAAAACGTTCTTAATTTTTAAGACGTATCTGTTTGGTGAGTTTACTAGACCTACTGAATTCCCCGTGAAGTTAATTACACAACTTTAGATTAAGTCAGATGGGCAAGATTTGTGTTGCCTTTCTACCCAATCTGAGCCCGGACTAAAATTCTTTCATCGTAATTCCCTCTAGCGTTCATAGACTAGCTTGCTCCCAGAAGGGTGATGCATAAGTGGGCTGTGACTGTTGGCTGCCATGAGCTAAATGGACCATGCAGAATGCTACCTGGCCAGGAAACTAGCCTTTTAGATGTTTCAGATCGAGGGCCAAACAAAAGGGCCTCCCAGGAGGTTTGTGTGGAAATCCTGCGACTGTACTCATGCTGGTAATTGTTTTTGAAAATAAGCAAATCTTCAGTAAGTGGGGCTTCCATCCATGCCCCCTGCCCCCCATATCCTGATCACACAGCAAGTCATTTTGTCAGGAAAACATGAAGTAAAGTGGATGTCAGTGGAGACGGAAATGATGATGCAGTCAGAGAGAGGTCACAAATTGCTACATCTTTTGATGAGTCGGGTTAATTATTTTTAAAAATTTATTTTTATTTATTTATGCATACAAGAACTGGGGTGTAGGCGGGCAGTGAGAGGATTCACCAGAGTGGGGAGCAGAACAGGCAGATCTACTGAAATACACTGCTGAGGGGAGCAGTGGGTGAGACAGGAGAGGTCTGCTGCTCCACGTGGGTTGCTCCCTGGCCGGGGATCGAACTTGTGCTGCAGAGGCTGCCAATAGCTTGCTAGCACTGTCTTTAACCCCTGCGCCACCACGGAGGCCCCACACTGTAACTTTTTAATGTGAATCGTGACTCTGACATGAGGGCAAAATAACAGAAGGCCTTGGAAGATGGAGCCAGGCAGTGTGGAGGCTCTTAGAGTTCCGTGAGTGTGCAAGGCACAGGCACACATTACTCAATTTAGACGTGTCAACCTGGGGAAAGGGACCTCCCAATCTCCATTGTGAGCACAAGGAAACGGGCTCAGGGAGGCTGAGTACAGCACGCGGGCAGCACAGTCAGTAGCTGCAGCACATCAGTGAGAAGGGAAGGCAGAGCCCCAACGCACCAGCGCACAGGCCTGGTTCTGCGTGATGCCAATGTGGGCGACCTCCCCAGCACATCACAGCAAGGGGCCCTGAAGGAAGGTCGGGCGGAAAGAGACGCTGGCATAAATGGAAACTGCACTTAAGGTAATAGTTGAATGTAAGTTGATGCATTTATGCTTATGAGGGCAGAGCGACCGAATGTCCCTAATGGCTCCGGTAATAAAAATCTGTCTGAGGAGTACACAGGAGCTTCCAAACACGCACAAAATAAAAGGCTCTTTCCACTTTATGACCCTGTGACTAGAAGCTGAGGTGAAAGAAAGATGCAAATGCTTCTCAACTAGACATTTAGGAGGAATTGGACCACATGACACCACTGTGTTCACTGGACCCACATGCCTACTTATAGCCTCCTGGGTAGCAACGCTAGAAGTCACAGATCATCAGGACCAGGGCCTGAACAAGAATGAGGCTGTCTGCTTCGGGTGCAGACACCACAAAAGTATCTGGACGCCCCTCAAGTCAGAATGAGGGACCTCTGGCCAAAGAGAGGTGAGAGCAAGTGCTGGCGCAGAAGCTGCAGTGGGCTGGGTGCTGGGGACCTGGCTCACAGAGGTGTGCGGTGCCGGTGGCCCTCGGGCTGGCCCACCTCACGAATCGAGAGTGTCCAGCAGCTGGTGTCCTTCACTCCTGGGCAGCCCCAGTGACAAGGGCTGCAGAGGATGGGGCCATCTGCAGGCTGCATGGGCCGGGCCAAGAGGAAGACTTCCCCGTGAAGTGGACGCAGCTTGGGACAGGGATCCTGGTTGAAACCATGACTGTGCCCGGTCACCACGAGGCCACCTGTCCCGGGACACTTGCAGATACAGGATCCATGCAAATGAGGAGCGTGGCGCTAGCCTCTTCAGAGAGCA